GGGGCACAGGGTTGTGTTCCTCCCTCCTCCTCCCCCCCCCCACCCCCAGGCTCTGCTCTCAGGGCGACACAATAAATAGTGGCAGTGGCCCCAGTGAGGGGCTGGGGGGGAGCCGGGTGTCCCTGCGACAGGGGGGGGATGTGGGGTGGGTGGACCCCGATCCAGGAGGGTGGGGGTATGGGGTGAAACATGGGGTAGGGTCCCCAGTGCTGGTACCTGGGGGGGGGGGATCCAGGGGTGTGGGAACGGATGCAGAGCAATGATAAACTCTGGGGGGGGGGGGGGGGGGGGTCATGGAAAGAGGGCTGGGGGGGGGGGAACTGGAAAGAGATTTAGGGGGAGGGGGGGGTACTGGAAAGAGGGCTGGGGGGAGGGGGGGGGGTACTGGAAAGAGGATTGGGAAGGGGGGGGTCCTGGAAAGAGGGCTGGGGGGGGACGACTGGAAAGAGGGCTGGGGGGAGGGGGGTCATGGAAAGAAGGCTGGGGGGGGAGCTTTGGGATTTGGAATCCAGCTCTAGGTCCCTTCTGAGCCTGTGGAGCTCTGTGATTTGGGGTGGGATGGGGGTGGGAGGTTTGGGATTTGGGGTAGGAGGTTTTGGGATGGGAGGTTTGGGATTTGGGGATGGGAGATTTGGGATTTGTAGGTTGGAATTTGGATGGGAGCTTTGGGATTTAGGGTAGGAGGTTCTGGGTGGGAGCTCTGGGATTTGGGGTAGGAGGTTTGGGATTTGGGGGTGGGAGATTTGGGATGGGAGCTTTGGGATTGGTGTATGAGGTTTTTGGGGTGGGAGGTTTGGTATTTGGAATGGGAGCTTTGGGATTTGGGATAGGAGGTTCTGGGTGGGAGCTTTGGGATTTGGGGTAGGAGGTTTGGGATCTGGGGTCTGGACAGGATGAGGGTGAGGATCCCAGCCCCAGGCGGATCTGTGGGTCCGAGGTTGGTGCATCCCAAGGTGAGGGGGGACTCATGCAGCAGGGCAGTGAGCAGGAGAGGGGGATGGAGGGATGGATGGATGGATGGATGGATGGATGGATGGATGGATGGATGGATGGATGGATGGATGGATGGAGGGATGGAGGGATGGATGGAGGGATGGAGGGATGGAGGGATGGATGGAGGGATGGAGGGATGGATGGATGGATGGATGGATGGATGGATGGAGGGATGGATGGATGGATGGATGGATGGATGGATGGATGGATGGATGGATGGATGGATGGATGGATGAATGGATGGATGGAGGGATGGATGGATGGATGGAGGGATGGAGGGATGGAGGGATGGATGGATGGATGGATGGATGAATGGATGGATGGAGGGATGGATGGATGGATGGAGGGATGGAGGGATGGAGGGATGGAGGGATGGATGGATGGATGAATGGATGGATGGAGGGATGGATGGATGGATGGAGGGATGGATGGATGGATGGATGGATGGAAGGATGGATGGATGGATGGATGGAGGGATGGATGGATGGATGGATGGATGGAGGGATGGGGGCCCTTTCCCACAAGCGGGCTGCCTTAAAAAAAAATCCCCCCCTTCTTCCCCAAAATTCTGCTGCACCCCTTCCCCCCTCCCCAGCATCGAGAGCAGACAATACAAAATGCATAAAAGAGCAGCTCCCAGGAAAGGGCCCGGAGCTTCGGGAAGGGAAAAAGGGGCCGGAGGGGTGAAGGCTGACGGGGTGAAGGCTGAGCCTCGGCTCCCCCCAGCCCACCCCAAAAAGGGATGAATGGGGACAAGGGGGCGCAGGGTCTGATGGCTGCTGGCGGCGGATCCGTGGGGTAGAAAACAAAGCGAATCATCATCATCATACAAAAACCCAAAGAGAAGAAGAAGCCTCTGAACGCGTGGATGCGAGCAGGGTGGGCAGCTCCAGGGTCTGCTTATCTGTCGTTGAGTTGTGGGGAGTTGGTCCTTTCCTCCTCATCCTCCTTGTCGTCCTTCATCCCCTTCAGCCGCTGCCGGGCGAAGTCCTCGAACACGATGTCGTCGTCACTGGGGGAGAGGGGACAGAAAGGCACACGGACACGCAGGGAGAGGTTTTGTGGGGGCTTGGGTGCTCGGGGGGGGAGGTTGGGGAGGCAGGGGGGTCCTAAAGCTCTGTTGGCAGCACTGGGGGGCAAAGCGTTACGGCTGTAAGGGTGGAGGGCTGTGAGTGGGAAAGGCCCCAAAGCAGCAGAGGAGGCAGCAAAGCCACCCCCAAATCCATGCCAGCTCCAAGAGATCCCTGAAAAGCTCCCAGCGCAGCTCCAAAGCTCCACGCAGCAACGCCAAGCCTCCCTGATGCTCCTCGTGCGGCACCAAAACCACCCCATAAACACCTGTTGCTGCATGGGGATCTCCTTCAGCTGCCCCAAATCCTCCCCCAAAACTTCCTCTGCAGCCCCAAAATCTACTCTAGTCCCAAAACAGCCCCCAAACCTCCCCCTGCAGCCCCAAAGCCACCCCATAACCTCATATTGTGGCACTGAGATCTACTGCAGCCCCAGATCCTCCCCCAAACCTCCCCCTGCAGCCCCAAATCCACCCCATAACCTCACATTGCTGCACTGGGATCTCCTACAGCAGCCCAAATCCTCCCCCAAACCAAACTGCTGCACCAAAGCCACCCCATAACCTCATATTGCTGCACTGGGATCTCCTACTGTGGCCCCAAATCCTCCCCCAAACCTCCCCCTACAGCCCCAAAGCCACCCCATAACCTCGTATTGCTGCACCAAGGTCTCCTATTGCAGCCCCAAATCCTCCCCCAAACCTCCAACTGCAGCCCCAAAATCTACTCCAGTCCCAAAACAGCTCCCAAATCTCCCCCTGCAGCCCCAAAGCCCCATAACCACGTATTGCTGCACCAAGGTCTCCTACTGCAGGCCCAAATCCTCCCCCAAACCTCTCCCTGCAGCCCCAAAGCCACCCCATAACCTCACATTGCTGCACTGGGATCTCCTACAGCAGCCCAAATCCTCCCCCAAACCAAACTGCTGCACCAAAGCCACCCCATAACCTCATATTGTGGCACTGAGATCTACTGCAGCCCCAGATCCTCCCCCAAACCTCCCCCTGCAGCCCCAAAGCCACCCCATAACCACGTATTGCTGCACTGAGATCTCCTACGGCAGCCCCAGATCCTCCCCCAAACCAAACTGCTGCACCAAAGCCACCCCATAACCTCATATTGCTGCACTGGGATCTCCTACTGTGGCCCCAAATCCTCCCCCAAACCTCCCCCTACAGCCCCAAAGCCACCCCATAACCTCGTATTGCTGCACCAAGGTCTCCTATTGCAGCCCCAAATCCTCCCCCAAACCTCCAGCTGCAGCCCCAAAATCTACTCAAGCCCAAAACAGCCCCCAAATCTCCTCCTGCAGCCCCAAAGCCACTCCATAACCTCATGTTGCTGCACCAGGATCTCCTACTGTGGCCCCAAATCCTCCCCCAAACCTCCAACTGCAGCCCCAAAATCTACTCCAGTCCCAAAACAGCTCCCAAATCTCCCCCTGCAGCCCCAAAGCTCCATAACCATGTATTGCTGCACCAAGGTCTCCTACTGCAGGCCCAAATCCTCCCCCAAACCTCCCCCTGCAGCCCCAAAGCCACCCCATAACCTCACACTGCTGCACTGGGATCTCCTACAGCAGCCCAAATCCTCCCCCAAACCAAACTGCTGCACCAAAGCCACCCCATAACCTCATATTGCTGCACTGACATCTCCTACTGCAGCCCCAAAACAACCCCCCAAACCTCCCCCTACAGCCCCAAAGCCACCCCAAAACCTTGTACTGCTGCACCAGGGTCTCCTATTGCAGCCCCATAACATCCCCTAAACCTCTCCCCGCAGCCCCAAAGCCACCCCGTAACAACATATTGCTGCACCAAGGTCTCCTACTGCAGCCCCAAATCAACCCCCAAACCTCCCCCTGTAGCCCCCTAATCTACCCCAGCCCCAAAACATCTCCCAAACCTCCCCCTGCAGCCCCAAAGCCACCCCATAACCTTGTGCTGCTGCACCAGGGTCTCCTACTGTGGCCCCAAATCCTCCCCCAAGCCTCCCCCTGCAGCCCCAAAGCCACCCCATAATCTCACATTGCTGCACAAATCCTCCCCCAAACCAAACTGCTGCACCAAAGCCACCCCATAACAACATATTGCTGCACTGACATCTCCTACTGCAGCCCCAAAACAACCCCCCAAACCTCCCCCTGCAGCCCCAAATCCTCCCCCAACCCACACTGCTGCACCAAAGCTCCCCCAAATCTCCTCCTTTCCCCTCCCCTCTTTTCCCCCTCCACCAGGGTCTCCCTTTGCAGCCCAAGTTGGGGGGGCTTCACCCCAATGGTGCAACACAGACACCCAAGGGACACCGTGGGGACAGATGGGGACAGATGGGGACAGATGGGGACAGATGGGGACGCACCACGACCCGGGGACGGGTGCTTCCTTACTGCGCTTCTCCTGTCACGCCAAAGCCACGCAGGGGGGTGGGAATTGGGGTGGGGGGAAGAGAACAGAGAAAGGAGCAGCGTGCGTTAGGGTCAGCATGCGGGGGTCGGGGCGGCACGCAGCCAGGCCAAGCGGCGTGGGATGGAGGTGCACCCCGAGGAGATTTGGGGGGGGCTCTTACTTTGTGTCAAGCTCGATCAGGTTTGTATCTATGGGAGCTTCGTTCTCTGGAACTGAACAGAAGGAATGAAGGCAGCTGGTTAGCTTTTCCATCCCCTGGATTGCAAATGAGAGATGGGGGGGGGGGAAGGAATGGGGGGGGGGGTCGTGCTGTGAGATCCCCATTGCAGCCACGGGGGGATCCCTCACCGTCCCGGTGCGCCGGCTCCTCTCGGGGTTTGGGGTGCATCAGGGTGAAGGGCAGCTCCACGGCCACGTCGCTGCAAAGAGAAGAGCCACGGTGGGACCCCCCCCCACCTCCCACCCCCAGCCCAGGAGCACCAGGAAGGGGATCGGTGTGGCCAAGCTGCTTACAAGAAGCTGGGGGCTGAAATCCCTGGGCTTGGGGTGGGGGTGTGGGGCACGCTGCAGGTGGGACAGCAGGGGTTGTGGGGCACTGTGTGCAGCCCATGCACTGCCTCCCTCCCCCCCCCCCAAAAAAACACCCATCATACATGGGTAAATGTGGGACCCCCAGCATCACCTGCAGCAAAGCCAGAATCGGTGCCCAGAAGTGGGGGGGCAGATCCGAATGTGGGGGGGCAAAGGGGGCTGAGGGGACAGGGCAGCAGGAGTTACCTGGAGGCAAGGTCTCCCAGCAGGCTGCAGGTCGAAGGAGGTGAGAAATTAATTAATGAGGCATTGAACTCAATCATTTGAGCCCAACCTCCCAGCAAGCGCGGGGCAGACGGGGACAAGGGGACCATGGGAGAGCTGTCCCCAACCCCAACTCCTTCCCAATCCCATCCCCATCCCCATTCCCACCCCAATGCCATTCTTATTCCATCCCAATGCCATCCCCATGCCGACCCCATTCCATCCCAATGCCGTTCGCATCCCACCCCAATCCCATCCCTATCCCAACCCCAATCCCATCTCTACCCCATCCCTACCCCAATGCCAACCCCATCCCAATGCATCCCTATCCCACCCCAATGCCAATGCCAATCTCGTTCCATCCCAATGCCATTCACATCCCACCCTAATCCCATCCCTACCCCATTCCAACCCCATTCCATCCCAATGCCATTCACATCCCACCCTAATCCCATCCCTATCCCATCTCAATGCCTTGCTCAGCCCAATTCCAACCCCATTCCCATCCCAATGCCATCCCCATGCCGGCCCCATTCCATCCCAATGCCGTTTGCATCCCACCCCAATCCCATCTCTACCCCATCCTCACCCCAATGCCAACCCCATCCCAATGCATCCCTATCCCACCCCAATGCCAACGCCAACCCCATTCCATCCCAGTGCCATTCGCATCCCACCCTAATCCCATCCCTATCCCATCTCAATGCCATGCCCAGCCCAATTCCATCCCCATTCCCATCCCAATGCCAATGCCAACCTCATTCCATCCCAATGCTATCCCAATTTCACCCCAGCGCCATCCCCATCCCATCCCCATTCCAATACCACCCCATCCCATCCCAATTCCATCCCCATACCAACTCCATCCCCATTCCAATCCCATCCCCATCCCCATCCCATCCAAACCATCATCATCCCAATCCCGTCCCCATCCCAATTCCACCCCATCCGATCCCAATCCCATCCTAATCCCATCCCAATGCCATCCCCATCCCAATTCCATCCCATCCCAATTCCATCCCCATCCCAACTCCATCCCCATCCCATCCAAACCATCTTCATTCCAATCCCATCCCCATCCCAATTCCACCCCATCCCACCCCATCCCATCCCCATCCCAATCCCACCCCATCCCACCCCAATCCCATCCCCATCCCAATTCCATCCCATCCTAATGCCATCCCCATCCCAATTCCATCCCCATCCCAACTCCATCCCCATCCCATCCAAACCATCTTCATTCCAATCCCATCCCCATCCCAATTCCACCCCATCTCACCCCATCCCATCCCCATCCCAATTCCACCCCATCCCACCCCAATCCCATCCCCATCCCAATTCCATCCCATCCTAATGCCATCCCCATCCCAATTCCATCCCCATCCCAACTCCATCCCCATCCCATCCAAACCATCTTCATTCCAATCCCGTCCCCATCCTAATCCCACCCCATCCCACCCCAATCCTATCCCCATCCCAATCCCACCCCATCCCACCCCAATCCCATCCCCATCCCGTCTCCAGTGCTGCTGGAATCCCAAAGGAATGTCCCATCCCACGGGGACAAACCAAGGCTGATCCCAAGCTCAATGCAAAGCAAAAAGGGGCTGCAGCCCCCCCCTGAGAGCTGCCCACCACTCACCCTCCTCGCGACACCACCAGCTTCACCTTCACCTTGTAGGACACGATGATGCCCAGGATCTCCTTGTTGGCTCCATCCCTCAGCCTGCACAGGACAGGGGTGAGCGTGGACCCCAACAGTCGTCACCCAGGGGTGACAGTAGGGTGGGAGGGGGACACAAGGGGTGGCTCACAGCGTGCTGGAGGCCAGGTTGGTGTCCTCATGCTTCAGCTTGCCATCCAGGGCCAGCCCACGTTTCTCCCGGTTGTTGGCAAGGAAGGGGGTCAGGGTGTAGACTTTGCAGAACGTTGAGCTCGGAGCCACCATGTCACTGGGGACAAGAGTGGGTGTCACCAGCGGGGACCCCAAGCACCCCATGGGGGTGGCAGGGTTAGTGTTAGGGTCCACTTAGGGACCCCAAGCCTGGTCACTCACTCGGCGTCCTCCACTGCCACAGGACATTTGTACTGGGCGGTGTTGAAGAGGCAGATGTCGGCGTATTGGCGCACTGGGGGAAAGATGGGGAGTTGGGGGAGGTTGGGGGGGGTCAGGGAGGGGACCCCAAGGGGACAGGGATTGGTTGGGGAGGGGGAGGGTGGTCCCCAACCTCACCTGAGATTTTGATCTTCTTCACTGTCTTGTTGGTGTTGTTGGTGACGTGGACGTTGACGCTGATGGGCTCCCCGTGGTAGTAGATCTGTGGGGAGGAGGCGTGCGGAGCTGCAGGGTTGGAAGGGACCTCTGGAGGTCAGCCAGGCCAACCCCCACCCCTAAAGCAGGTTCCTTCAAGGAGGCTTCAAGGTTCCTTCGATCACCGGTCAACCAGTTGGCCAACCAGGACACCGTTGGCCTTCTTGGCCACAAGAACATATTGCTGGTTCAATGGTCAGCCTGTGGTCAACCGTTGACCAAATGCTGACCAACCAGGACATCCCAGGCCTTCTGGGCCATCAGGACACAGTGCTGCCTCACAGCCAACCATTGGCCAACCAGGACATCCTAGGCCTTCTGGGCCATCAGGACACAGTGCTGCTTCATGGCCAACCATTGTCCAACCAGGACACCATGGGCCTTCTGGGCCATCAGGACGCAGTGCTGCCTCACAGCCAACCATTGGCCAACCAGGACATCCCAGGCCTTCTGGGCCATCAGGACGCACTGCTGCCTCACCGTCACCCTACAGGCCAACCGTTGGCCATCAGGACCCCCAGGTCCTTGTCTGCAGTTTCCTCCCCAGCTCAGCTCAGCCCCCATCCCCACCTCCTTGTCCAAAGACGCCTCCAGGTGCAGCGGTTTGTCTGACATGAGGAATTGCCTGGTGGTCTCAGCCATGGGCTGGGGGCCGGGGCGCTCCGGGGCGTACTGCACTTTGCGGATGACCAAGCGGACAGAGTTCCTGTGGGGACAACGAGGGGACAGCCTGCAGCTCTGCCCCACAGCTCTGCCCCACAGCTCTGCCCTCTTTTTCGACGTGCTTTCAGTCAAATGCTTCTTTTCTCTTAGTCTCAGCTTGGTGAGGCCCCAGGGAAGGGCTGGTCCCGCTCCACCCCAAGAGACATTTCCATCCCTACCTCACTCTGAAGAACATCTCCATCCCTCCCCAGCTTGGAGGATATCTCCATCCCAGTTCACCCAGAAGGCCATCTCCATCCCAACCCTACCCTACAGCACATCACCAACCCCATCCCATCCTAGAGAACATCTCCAGCCCAGTCCCACCCTAAAGGACACCTCAATCCCACCCCCATCCTACAGCGCATCACCAACCCCGTCCCATCCCAGAGAACACCTCCATCCCAACCCTACCCTAAAGGACATCACCAACCCTGTCCCCTCTGAGAGCAGTTCTCCATCTCAGTCCCATTCTGGAGGACGTCTCCATCCCACCTCCATCCTAAAAGAAAATCTTCATCCCTCCCCATCCCACAGGATGCCTCCATCCCAGTCCCACCCTCAAGAACATATCAGTCTTTTCTCATCCTGGACAGCATCTCCTTTCCTTTCCCCTTTCCCCTTTCGTTTCCCCTTTCGTTTCCCCTCCCCTTTCCCTTTCCCTTTCCCTTTCCCTTTCCCTTTCCCTTTCCCTTTCCCTTTCCCTTTCCCTTTCCCTTTCCCTTTTCCTTTCCCTTTCACTTTCCCTTTCTCCTTGCCCTTTCCCTTTCCCTTCCTCTCTCCTTTCCTCTCTCCTTTCCTCTCTCCTTTCCCTTCCCTTCCCTTCCCTTCCCTTCCCTTTCCCTTCCCTTCCCTTCCCTTCCCTTCCCTTCCCTTCCCTTCCCTTCCCTTCCCTTCCCTTCCCTTCCCTTCCCTTCCCTTCCCTTCCCTTCCCTTCCCTTCCCTTCCCTTCCCTTCCCTTTCCTCTCTCCTTCCCTTCCCTTTCCTCTCTCCTTCCCTTCCCTTTCCTCTCTCCTTCCCTTCCCTTCCCTTCCCTTCCCTTCCCTTCCCTTCCCTTCCCTTCCCTTCCCTTCCCTTCCCTTCCCTTCCCTTCCCTTCCCTTCCCTTTCCTCTCTCCTTCCCTTCCCTTTCCTCTCTCCTTCCCTTCCCTTTCCTCTCTCCTTCCCTTCCCTTCCCTTCCCTTCCCTTCCCTTCCCTTCCCTTCCCTTCCCTTCCCTTCCCTTCCCTTCCCTTCCCTTCCCTTCCCTTCCCTTCCCTTCCCTTCCCTTTTTCCTGTCCTGAAGAATATCCCCACCTCTTCCCACTCTGGAGAACATTTGCTTCCCTCTCCCATCCTGGAGCACTTCACCATCTCAATCCCACCCTGAAGAACACCGTTATCCTGTCCCATCCCACAGGACACCTCTGCTCCGTTCCCATCCTAAGAGACACCTCCAGCTCTGTTCCACCCTAAAGGACCTCACCAACCATCCAGGAAGATCCCACCACCCCAGCCCCGCTCCAAAGGACATCTCCAGCCCTGTCCCATCCGGGAGGACGTTCCCATTCCATTCCAAATCTGGAGGACATCTCCAGCCCAGTCCCACCCCAAAGGACATCTCCATCCCTTCCCCACCCCAAAAGACATCCCCGCCCCTTTCCCACCCCACAGGACACCTCCACCCTCTCCCCATCCCAGGCCACCTCTCCCTTTACCTCTTATGGATTTTCTCCTCCAGGTTCTCTGCGCAGAAAGCTTTGACCTCATAGTCCACACCGCAGGCCTGGACAGTGGTGAGGGACGTGGAAGAGGGGGGCAGATCAACCCCTCCACCCCCCCAAAACCCCACAAGGAACCCATCGGGTTCCCCATCGCATCACCAGGAGGGACACAGCGGGGCGACACGAGGACGCGGCGCCGCTCCTTACCTTCCCCGTGTCTTCGGGGCCGGGTTGCAGCGTGACGGAGCAGGGCAGGTTGGGGGGGATCTGCAGCACAAAATAGGGTCAGGAGTGACGACCCCAGGGGAAGTGACAGGCCCCCGGGATCACAAGAACCACAAGGTTGGAAACGACCTATAGATCATCCGGTCCAACCGTCTCCTCATCTCCATTGCCACCACTGGCACTAAACCACATCACGCAGCACGTCATCCAGATGCCTCCTGAACGCTGCCAGGGACAGCGACTCCACCACCTCCCTGTGCAGCCATTGCAGTGCCTGAGCACTCTCTGAGAGAAGAAATTCTTCCCTATGTCCAACCTGAACCTCCTCTGGTACAACTTGTGGCCATTGCTCGTCGCCTGGGAGAAGAGGCCAGGCCCTTTGACACCACAGCCTCCCTCCACGCAGTTGCAGAGTGCAGTCAGGTCTCCCCTGAGCTCCTCTTCTCACCCTCACCACTCCCAGCTCCCTCAGCCGCTCCTCAGCAGCCCTGTGCTCCACACCCCTCCCCATTTCGCTGCCCTTCTCTGCACGCTGCAGGGCCTCAACATCTTTCCTGCAGTGAGGAGCCCAAATCTGAACCCAGCACTCGAGGTGCGGCCTCAGCAGAGCTGAGTGCAGGGGATGCTCCCCTCCCTGCTCTGCTGGCCATTCCTCATGCAGCCCAGGCTGCCGCTGGCCCTCTTGCCCACCTGTGCACACTGCTGGCTCCTGTTCAGCCCAGCACCAACCAACAGCCCCAGGTCCTTCTCTTCTTCACACTCATCCCCCAGCCTGCAGCGCTGCATGGGGTTGTTATGGCCAAAATGCAGCACCCGGCACTCGGCCTTGTTGAACCTCATCCCATTCACCTCAGCCCAGCGCTCCAGCCTGTCTGAATCCCTCTGCAGGGCCTCCCTGCCCTCAGGCAGATCAACACCACCTCCCAGCTCGGTGTCATCTGCAGACTTGCTGAGGGTGCACTCAATGCCCTCGTCCAGGTCATCAATAAAGATATTAAACAAGGTCGGCCCCCTGGGGGACACCACTTGAAACGGGTCGCCAGCCGGACTTCACTCCATTCACCACGGCCCCGCAGCCATTTCCTTACCCAAAGAAGGGCATGTATCTGTTCAGAGCACGGGCAGCCAGTTTCCCCAGAAGAAGCCCAGAGGGACCGTGTCAAAGGCTGTGCTGAAGTCTAGGAAGACATCAACAGCCCTTCCCTCATCTATCAGACTGGTCACCAGTCGTGGAAGGAGATGAGGTTGCTCAAGCATCACCTGCCTTTCACAAACCCGTGCTGGCTGGCTCTGATCACAAACCTGAGCTGGATGGGGACCCATCGGATGCTGCCTGCTCCTTTTAGGCTACGGCTCAGCACCGTGGGCCCCGGGGGGTGGTGCACTGCACTAATGCACTTTTTGGTGGGTTTTAGGGGTTTTTTGGCTTTAATCCGGGGGATTTGGAAGAATTAAGGCTGTTTGGCCTGCTAAGATCCCGCTGAGCCCGTGGGGTTTAGTGGGCAGCTCACAGCTTGGAAATGTCACCGGGTGCCCTGGGCTGCCCCTCACTGGGGGGGGCTCTGCCCCTCAATTTCTGCCCAACGCCCCCCCCCCCCCCTTTGCAGCGATGGAAATTTCCTCCAGCTCCTGCACAGCTCCCAGATGGTGCTGGAACAAACGCAGCCAATTATCACAGCAATTAAAGCGTGCAGAGGAAGGAGGGGCTGCCCCCACGGTGGCACAGGCACAGCAGGGTTCTGCCCAAGGCTACAGAGCATCCCGTGCCTCAGTTTCCCCACTGGATTCCCGCAGCACCGCAGCTGCACCCCACAGCTCCAGCAGCCCCCTGCCCCGAGAGGTGGAGGGAATCCCCAAAAGCCCTGTGCCCCTGCAGTGCCAGGGGCGATGCTGCGTCCCTAGACCCCAAAAAAGACAGAGCCAAGGGGGGATGCTGAACCCCAATGTGGCGCTGAACCCAAAAGAGATGAACCCCCCCACGTGGGACTGTGCCCAAAGTGATGCTGTGCCCCAAAAGCGGTGCTGCACCCCAAAGCGATGCTGCAGCCAAGGTGATGCTGAGCCCCAAAGCAGTGCTGAGCTCAAGGTGATGCTGAACCTCTGAGAGGAACTGGGCCCCAATGTGAGGCTGAACCCCAAAGTGATGCTGAACCCCACAGTGATGCTGCACCCCAAAGCAGTGCTGAGCTCAAGGTGATGCTGAACCTCTGAGAGGAACTGGGCCCCAATGTGAGGCTGAACCCCAAAGTGATGCTGAACCCCACAGTGATGCTGGTGATGCTGAACCCTCAGAGATGCTGAACCCCCATAAGGTACTGCACCCCAAGTGATGCTGATAAACTGAAGGTGATGCTGAACCTCAAAGTCATTGGTATGAATCCCACTGTGATGCTGCACCCCAAACCAATGCTGCACCCCACAATGGATCTGCAACCAAAGTGATGCTGAACCCCAAGGTGATGCTGGTGATGGTGAACCCTAAGAGATGCTGAATCCCCATAAGGTACTGCACCCCAAATGATGCTGATAAACTGAAGGTGATGCTGAGCCCCAAAGTGATTGGTATGAACCCCAAGTGATGCTGCACCCCAAAGCAGTGCTGAACTCAAAGTGATGCTGAACCCCCACGTGGTTCTGCACCCCAAGTGATGCTGAGTCCCAAAGCAGTGCTGAACTCAAGGTGATGCTGAACCTCTAAGAGAAACTGTACCCCAATGTGATGCTGAACCCCACCGTGGTGCTGCACCCCAAAGCAATGCTGCACCCAAAGTGATGCTGCACCCCAAAGCAGTGCTAAACTCAAGGTGATGCTGAACCTCTAAGAGGAACTGAACCCCAATGTGATGCTGAACCCCACAGTGATGCTGCGTCCCAAAGCAGTGCTGTACCCCAAAATGGAACTGCAACCAAAGTGATGCTGAACCCCAAGGTGATGCTGAACCCTAAGAGATGCTGAATCCCCATAAGGTACTGCACCCCAAATGATGCTGATAAGCTGAAGGTGATGCTGAGCCCCAAAGTGATTGGTATGAACCCCAAGTGATGCTGCACCCCAAAGCAGTGCTGAACTCAAGGTGATGCTGAACCTCTAACAGGAACTGAGCCCCAATGTGATGCTGAACCCCAATGTGATGCTGAACCCCACCGTGATGCTGCACCCCAAAGCAGTGCTAAACTCAAAGCAATGCTGCACCCCAAAGCAGTGCTGAACTCAAAGTGATGCTGAACCCCAAAGCAGTGCTGAACTCAAGGTGATGCTGCACCCCAAAGCGACTGGAACTGAACCCCACCGTGACGCTGAACCCAGAGATGCCGATCCCCCACGTGGCGCCGTACCAAAGTGATGCAGCACCCAAGGCACAGCTGAACCCCAACGACGACGCTGCACCCCCAGAACCGCTGAGCCCGCAGCGCTGCTGCAGCCCGACGCGACGCTGCAGCGCCCCAAAGCAGCGCCAGCCCCCCACGCTCCCCACCTCGAAGGTGAAGGGGTAGGCGTGCTCGCCCAGCTTCTTGATGAGGCGCTCCTGCAGGCGGGTGAGGGGCTTCCTGTCCTCGGGCACGGGGGGGAAGGCCTGAGCGTTGGCCACAAACAGGTCCTTGCGGAACGTCAGGCCCAGCACGTCCAGGTCCTCGCGGCCGTAACGGAAGGCGCACGTCAGCGTCACGAAGACTGCAGGCACAGAAGGGGTGAGGTGACAACGCGGCACGGTGACACGGAGGTGCGGTGCTATCGTGGTGTTGTGTATCAGTATGGCGGTACGATGGCACGGGGGCACTGTGGAGTATCGGCATCACGGCGCTGTGGTGACGTGGGATGGTGGCATCGTGACATGGTGGCATTGTAGTGACATGGGATGGTGGCATCGGGGCACTGCGGCACCATGACACAGTGGTGACATGATATGGTGGCATCGTGACATGGTGGCATTGTAGTGACATGGGATGGTGGCATCGTGGCACTGCGGCACCATGACACCATGGCACCATGACACACCATGATGTGATATGGTGGCGTCATGACAGGGTGGCTTCATGGCACTGTGGCACCATGGCATGATGGCACCATAACACAGTGGTGACGTGATATGGTGGCATCGTGACATGGTGGCATCGTGGCACTGTGGCACCATGGCATGATGGCACCACGACACGGTGGTGACATGACATGGTGGCATCATGACACTGTGGTGAAGTGGTATGGTGGCATCGTGACATGGTGGTGACGTGGTATGGTGGCATCATGGCACTGTGGCACCACAGCATGATGGCACCATGACACAGTGGTGACATGACATGGTGGCATCAGGACATGGTGGCATCGTGGCACTGTGGTGACGTGGGATGGTGGCATCATGATATGGTGGCATCGTGGCATTGTGGCACCATGACACAGTGGTGACGTGATATGGTGGCATCATGACATGGTGGTGACGTGGTATGGTGGCTTCATGGCACTGTGGCACCATGACATGATGGCACCATGACACAGTGGTGACACGATATGGTGGCATCAGGACATGGTGGCATCATGGCACTGTGGCACCATGGCACGGTGGTGACATAGTATGGTGGCGTCATGACACGGTGGCATTGTGGCACTGTGGTGATGTTGTATGGTGGCACCATGATGGTGGTGACGTGGTATGGTGGCATCATGACATGGTGGCATCGTGACATGATGGTGACATGGTATGGTGGCATCATGACATGGTGGTGAAGTGGTATGGTGGCATCATGACATGGTGGCATCGTGGCCACAGTGGTAGGGTGGCACCATGCTACCAAGGGAGCAAGGCACAAGGGCATGGTGGCACCACGGCACAGTGGCACAGTGGTATGGTGGCACCATGGAATCATGGCACCATGGCACAGTGGCATCACAAGATGGTGGCATCGTGGCACTGTGGCCCACTGGTATGGTGGCACCACGACACGGTGGCATTACAGCAGTGTGGCAACATGGTGTGATGGCACCCTGGCACGATGGCACCGTGGCACAACGGTACGGTGGCATCACAGCACTGAGGCACCACGGCACGGTGGCACTGTGGCACAAGAACACAGTGGCACGGTGACAAGGCACCTGTGGTGGCACAGTGTCACTCTGGCATGGCACCGTGGCACTGTGATACCACGGCATGGCGACACGGGGGCACGGTGACATTGTGGCACGGTGGCTCCGTGGTGTGGTGGCATCACGGCTCGTCCCAACCCCACCAGGAGCAGCAGAGGGGGCACCGGGAAGAGGTGGTGGCACCCAGGACGTGCTGTGACAATTGGGGACAGGTGGCACTGCCCCACGTGGCAGTGGGATGGGGACAAAAGCTTGGGCACCCAGAAACCCTCAGCCAAGGGCCCAGCAAAGCCCCGGGTGCCACCTCCATGTCCCCAACCTCGGGGACATCGTGATGGGGCCGTTACCTTTCCTTTCCTTCAGGTACTCAGGATCAACCAGCACCACTCCGTCTGCAAGGGAAGAGCAGAGCCAGCAGGTTGGGGACATGGCATCAGGGTTGGGGACATGGCACAGAGGTTGGGAACATGGCACAGAGGTTGGGGACATGGGACCAGGGTTGGGGACATGGCACAGAGGTTGGGGACATGGCACCAGGGTTGGGGACATGGCACAGAGGTTGGGGACATGGGACCAGGGTTGGGGACATGGCACAGAGGTTGGGGACATGGCACAGAGGTTGGGGACATGGCATCAGGGTTGGGGACATGGCACCAGGGTTGGGGACATGGCACAGAGGTTGGGGACATGGCACCAGGGTTAGGGACATGGCACAGAGGTTGGGGACATGGGACCAGGGTTGGGGACATGGCACAGAGGTTGGGGACATGGCACCAGGGTTGGGGACATGGCACAGAGGTTGGGGACATGGGACCAGGGTTGGGGACGTGGCACTGGAGTTGGGGACACAATATGGGGTTGGGGACAAAGCACAGGAGTTGGGGACATAGCATAAGGGTTGGGGACATGGCACAGAGGTTGGGGACAAGCCACAGGGGCTGGGGACATTGCATGGGGGTTGAGGACACAGCATGGGGCTGGGGACGTGGCACTGGAGTTGGGGACACAATATGGGGTTGGGGACAAAGCACAGGAGTTGGGGACATGGCACCAAGGTTGGGGACACAGCACAGGGACTGGGGACATGGCAAAGGGTTGGGGACAGGATATGACGGTTGGGGACACAGCCCAGAGGTTGGGGACATGGCATAGGGTTGGGGACATAGCACAGAGGTTGGAGACACAACAGGGCTGGGGACACAGCACAGGAGCTGGGCACGTGACACTGGGGTTGGGGACATGGCACTGGGGTTGGGGACAAGACATGAGGGCTGGGGACATGGCACCAAGGTTTGGAACACAACACAGGGCTGGGGACAAGCCATAGGTTGGGGACATGGCATAGGGACTGAGGACACAATATGGGGTTGGGGACACAGCACTGGGACTGGGGACAGGACATGAGGGTTGGGGACACAAGATGGGGTTGGGGACAGGACACGAGGGTTGGGGACACAGCATGGGGTTGGGGACACAGTATGGGGTTGGGGACACAAGATGGGGTTGGGGACACAGCACTGGGATTGGGGACACAGCATGGGGTTGGGGACAGGACATGAGGGTTGGGGACACAATATGGGGCTGGGGACACAGTATGGGGTTGGGGACACAAGATGGGGTTGGGGACACAATATGGGGTTGGGGACAGGACATGAGGGTTGGGGACACAGTATGGGCTTGGGGACACAGCACTGGGATTGGGGACAGTATGGGGTTGGGGACAGGACACAAGGGTTGGGGACACAGCATAGGGTTGGGGACGCAATATGGGGTTGGGGACACAAGATGGGGTTGGGGACACAATACAGGGTTGGGGACACAGCACTGGGATTGGGGACAGTATGGGGTTGGGGACAGGACACAAGGGTTGGGGACACAACATGGGGCTGGGGACACAGTATGGGGTTGGGGACACAAGATGGGGTTGGGGACACAATACAGGGTTGGGGACACAGCACTGGGATTGGGGACAGGACACGAGGGTTGGAGACACAGCATAGGGTTGGGGACGCAATATGGGGTTGGGGACAGGACACGAGGGTTGGGGACACAGCACTGGGATTGGGGACACAATATGGGGTTGGGGACAGGACACGAGGGTTGGGGACACCACATGGGGTTGGGGACACAGTATGGGGTTGGGGACACAGCACTGGGACTGGGGGACACAGCATGGGGTTGGGGACAGGACACGAGGGTTGGGGACACAGTATGGGGTTGGGGACACAGCATGGGGTTGGGGACACAATATGGGGTTGGGAACAGGGCACTGTGCTGGGCCACCTTTCCCCCCCCCCCAAAGGGCACAGCCACCCAAAACGACGCCCATCCCCTTCACGTCCCCTCTGTCCCCACTCACCCACGGGATCCACCACGTCGATGTGGTCCACAAAGTCCCTCTTGCCCAGGTACACCGTGAGCTACGGGGACAGCGGGGTCACCGGGACACCATGTGTGTCCCCAGCCCAGCACGGCCCCCCCCCGGCCCTCCCACCGCTCACCTTCCCGTTGGGACTCGCTTTCTTGAACACCCTGCAACGAGAAGCAAAAGGGGGCAGCAGGTTATGGGGTGCAAGGGGGCGGCCTGTGCCTCAGCTTCCCTGCAGGGCTGAGCGGTGCCAGGCAAAGGCCCTGCTGTGCAAGGAGCTGTGCAAGGAGCTGTGCAGGGAGCTGTCAGGGAGCTGTGCAGGGAGCTGTGCAGGGAGATGTGCAAAGAGCTGTGCAAGGAGCTGTGCAGGGAGCTGTGCAGGGAGATGTGCAAAGAGCTGTGCAGGGAGCTGTGCAGGGAGCTGTGCAAGGAGCTGTGCAGGGAGCTGTGCAGGGAGCTGTGCAGGGAGCTGTGCAAGGAGATGTGCAAGGAGATGTGCAAAGAGCTGTGCAAGGAGCTGTGCAGGGAGCTGTGCAGGGAGCTGTGCAAGGAGCTGTGCAGGGAGCTGTGCAGGGAGCTGTGCAGGGAGCTGTGCAAGGAGCTGTGCAGGGAGCTGTGCAAAGGCCCTGCTGTGCAAGGAGCTGTGCAGGGAGCTGTGCAGGGAGCTGTGCAAAGGCCCTGCTGTGCAAGGAGCTGGTGCTGTGCAAAGTTGCTGTGCATGGAACTGGTGCTGTGCAAGGTGCTGTGCAAGGAGCTGGTGCTGTGCAAAGGCCTAGCTGTGCAAGAGGCTGTGCAAAGGTCAGGCTGTGCAAGGTGCTGTGCAAATGCCCTGCTGTGCAAAGTGTTGGTGCTGTGCAAAGACCTGGATGTGCAAGGTGCTGTGCAAAGGTCTGGCTGTGCAAGGAGTTGTGCAAAGGCCCTGCTGTGCAAGGAGCTGTGCAAGGAGCTAGGTGCCGTGCAAAGGCCTGGTTGTGCAAGGTTCTGGCACTGTGCAAAGGCCCCGCTATGCAAGAGGTTGTGCAAGGTGCCAGGGTTGTGCAAGGTGCTCTGCAAAGCGCTGGGTGCTGTGCACGGAGCAATGCGAGGTCCTGTGCAAGGTGCAAGATGCAACACGAAGGCATGGCTGTGCAAGATGTCGAGTGAGGTGTCAGGGTTGTGCAAGGTGTGCTGCAAAGCTGTGCAAGGCGCTGTGCAAGGTGCAAGCTCTTGTGCAAAGGCTCCGCTTCGCAAGAGATTGTGTGAGATGCCAGAGCTGTGCACGGTGCTCTGCAAAGTGCTGAGGGCCGTGCAAGGTGCCATGCAAAGCGCGGGCTGTCGTGCAAAAGCTCTGCTGTGCAAGATGTGTGAGGTGCTCTGCAAGGTGCTGAGTGACGTGCAGAGGCTTGCAGCTGTGCAAGGAGCTGTGCAGGGAGCTGTGCAGGGAGCTGTGCAAGGAGCTGTGCAAGGAGCTGTGCAGGGAGCTGTGCAGGGAGCTGTGCAGGGAGCTGTGCAAGGAGCTGTGCAGGGAGCTGTGCAGGGAGCTGTGCAGGGAGCTGTGCAAGGAGCTGTGCAGGGAGCTGTGCAAGGAGCTGTGCAGGGAGCTGTGCAAGGAGCTGTGCAAGGAGCTGTGCAAGGAGATGTGCAAGGAGCTGTGCAGGGAGCTGTGCAGGGAGCTGTGCAAGGAGCTGTGCAGGGAGCTGTGCAAGGAGCTGTGCAAGGAGATGTGCAGGGAGCTGTGCAAGGAGCTGTGCATGTTGCAACGCTTCCAGCACCCTCAGCACCCTGCAGGCTCTCCTCTGCCTCCAAGGGATATGGGGACATGGGAATGTAGGGACATAGGGATATAGGGTTATAGGGACATGGGGATGCTGGTGTAAGGGGACATGGGGACACAGGGACATTGAGATGTAGGGACGTAGGTATGCAGGGACACAGGGATCCCATTCCCAAAGCACCCAGGGAGGGGTGGGTCGAGCAGAATCCCACGTCCCCAGGTCCCCCTGCCCCCATGTCCCCATATCCCCATGTCCCCATGTCCTCATATCCCCCTGTCCCCATGTCCCCATGTCCCCATGTCCCCCTGTCCCCATGTCCCCATATCCCCATGTCCCCATATCCCCCTGTCCCCCTGTCCCCATGTCCCCATGTCCCCATATCCCCATGTCCCCATATCCCCCTGTCCCCCTGTCCCCCTGTCTCCATGTCCCCATGTCCCCCTGTCTCCATGTCCCCATGTCCCCATGTCCCCATATCCCCATGTCCCCATATCCCCCTGTCCCCCTGTCCCCATGTCCCCCTGTCTCCATGTCCCCATGTCCCCATGTCCCCATATCCCCCTGTCCCCATGTCCCCATGTCCCCATATCCCCATATCCCCCTGTCCCCATATCCCCCTGTCCCCCTGTCCCCCTGTCCCCCTGTCCCCCGTCCCCATGTCCCCCTGTCCCCATGTCCCCATATCCCCATATCCCCATGTCCCCCTGTCCCCCTGTCCCCACGTCCCCATGTCCCCATGTCCCCATATCCCCCTGTCCCCCTGTCTCCATGTCCCCATGTCCCCCTGTCCCCATATCCCCATATCCCCATGTCCCCATATCCCCACGTCCCCGTGCCACAGCAGCAGGGTTTGGAAGTTCCTGGGGGACCGATGGTGCTGTGGTGCTGACACCAACGGGGGAACGTGGAGCTCGTTACCAACAGACACTAACGAACTAACGCTAATGAAGCTGTGTGATGCAATGGGGACAGGCAGGAAGAGAGCGCTGTGGGGTTGCCAAGGAATAGGGCTGCGCTGGGGGGGGGGGGGCAGCAACCCCACAGTCCAACCCTATGGGTGCAGAACCCCACACTACAGGGGCAGGAACCCCAAGAACCCCACAATATGAGAGCAGAACCCCACAGAGCCACCCTATGGGTGCAGGACCCCATACTATGGGTGGAACCCCACAACCCCACCCCTATGGGTGCAGGAACCCCAAGAACCCCACGCTATGGGCACAGAACCCCACAGCCCCATCCTATGGGTACAGAACCCCACAGACCCACCCTATAGGTACAGAATCCCATCCTACAGGTGCAGGAACCCCAAGGACCCCACACTATGGGTGCAGAACCCCACAGAGCCACCCTATGGGTGCAGAACCCCATACTGTGGGTGCAGAACCCCATCCTATGGGTGCAGGAACCCCACAGCTCCACCCTATGGGTACAGAACCCGCACCCTATGGGGGCAGGAACCCCCAAAACCCCACACTATGGGAACAGAACCCCACAGTCCCCCCCTATGGGTGCAGGAACCCCAAGAACTCCATGCTATGGGTGCAGAACCCCACAGCACCACCCTATGGGTGCAGGACACCATACTATGGGTGAAACCCCACAACCCCACCCCTATGGGTGCAGGAACCTCAAGAACCCCATACTATGGGAACAGCACCCCAAAGCTTCACCCTATGGGTGCAGGACCCCATGCTATGGGGGCAGGAACCCCCAAAACCCCATACTATGGATGCAGAACCCCACAGCCCCACCCTATGGGTGCAGAACCCCATACTGTGGGTGCAGGAACCCCAAGAACCCCACGCTATGGGAACAGAACCCCACAGCCCCACTCTATGGGTGCAGGAGCCCCAAGAACCCTATGCTGTGGGTACAGAACCCCACACTACAGGTGCAGAACCCCAAAGCCCCACTCTATTGGTGCAGAGCCCCATGCTATGGGTGCAGGAACCCCCAAAACCCCACACTATGAGTGCAGAACCCCATGCTATGGGGGCAGGAACCCCAAAAACTCCATACTATGGGAACAGAACCCCACAGCTCCACCCTATGGGTACAGAACCCCACCCTATGGGGGCAGGAACCCCCAAAACCCCACACTATGGGAACAGCACCCCAAAGCTTCACCCTATGGGTGCAGGACCCCATGCTATGGGGGCAGGAACCCCCAAAACCCCATACTATGGATGCAGAACCCCACAGCCCCACCCTATGGGTGCAGGAACCCCAAGAACCCCACGCTATGGGAACAGAACCCCACAGAGCCACCCTATGGGTGCAGGACCCCATGCTATGGGTGGAACCCCACAACCCCAACCCTATGGGTGCAGGAACCCCAAGAACCCCATGCTATGGGCACAGAACCCCACAGCCCCATCCTATGGGTACAGAACCCCACAGTATGGGTGCAGAACCCCACAGCCCCACCCTACAGGTACAGAATCCCATCCTACAGGTGCAGGAACCCCAAGGACCCCACACTATGAGTGCAGAACCCCACAGCCCCACCCTATGGGTGCAGAACCCCACGTTATGGGTTCAGAACCCAACAGCCGCACCCTATGGGTACAGAACCCCCACCCTATGGGGGCAGGAACACCAAAAACCCCACACTATGGATGCAGAACCCCACGCTATGGGTGCAGGAGCCCCACAGGCCCATGCTATGGGTGCAGGACCCCATACGATGGGTGGAACCCCACAACCCCACCCCTATGGCTGCAGAACCCCATCCTATGGGTGCAGGAACCCCAAGAACCCCACACTATGAGTGCAGAACCCCACAGAGCCACCCTATGGGTACAGAACCCCTATGATATGGGTGCAGGAACCCCAAGAATCCCATATTATGGGAACAGGACCCCACAGCCCCACCCTATGGGTTCAGGAACCCCAAGAACCCCATACTATGAGAGCAGAACCCCACAGCACCACCCTATGGGTGCAGAACCCCACCCTATGGGTGCAGGAACCCCAAGAACCCCACGCTATGGGAACAGAACCCCACAGCTCCACCCTATGGGTGCAGGAGCCCCAAGAACCCTATGCTGTGGGTACAGAACCCCACACTACAGGTGCAGAACCCCACAGCCCCACTCTATTGGTGCAGAGCCCCATGCTATGGGGGCAGGAACCCCCAAAACCCCACACTATGAGTGCAGAACCCCACAGAGCCACCCTATGGGTTCAGAACCCCACAACCCCAACCCTATGGGTGCAGGAACCCCAAGAACCCCATGCTATGGGAACAGCACCCCAAAGCTTCACCCTATGGGTGCAGGACCCCATGCTATGGGGGCAGAAACCCCCCAAACCCCACACTATAGGAACAGAACCCCACAGACCCCCACCTATGGGTACAGAATCCCACACTATGGGTGCAGGAACCCCCAAAACCCCATACTATGGATGCAGAACCCCACAACCCCACCCCTATGGGTGCAGGAACCCTAAACACCCCATGCTATGGGTGCAGAACCCCACAGCCCCACACCACGGGTGCATCCCCACCCCACACAGCACAACGGGGCACACGGGGCCACCCCACAGCCCCGACCCCAGTGCAGAGGGGGACGTCCTTTATGGGGCCGCCCCACATGGTGCAGAACCCCATCCCATGGGTGGAACCCCGCAACCCCACCCTATGGGTGCAGGAACCCCAAGAACTCCATGCTATGGGTACAGAACCCCACACTATGGATGCAGAACCCCACGTAATGGGTTCAGAACCCAACAGCCGCACCCTATGAGTACAGAACCCCCACCCTATGGGGGCAGGAACCCCACAGCCCCACCCTATGGGTGCAGAACCCCACAGCCCCACCCTATGGGTGCAGGAACCCCAAGAACCCCATGCTATGGGTGCAGAACCCCACCCTATGGGTGCAGGATCCCATGCTATGGGTGCAGAACCCCACAGCCCCACCCGATGGGTGCAGAACCCCATACTGTGGGTGCAGGAACCCCAAGAACCCCACACTATGGGTGCAGATCCCCACAGCTCCACCCTATGGGTGTAGAACCCCACATAATGGGTTCAGAACCCAACAGCCGCACCCTATGGGTACAGAACCCCCACCCTATGGGGGCAGGAACCCCAAAAACCCCACACTATGGATGCAGAACCCCACAGCCCCACCCTATGGGTGCAGGAACCCCAAGAACCCCATGCTATGGGTGCAGAACCCCACAGCCCCACCCCACGGGTGCATCCCCACCCCACACAGCACAACCGGGGCACGCAGGGCCACCCCACAGCCCCGACCCCAGTGCAGAGGGGGACGTCCTTTATGGGGCCGCCCCACATGGTGCAGAACCCCATCCCATGGGTGGAACCCCAAAGCCCCACCCTATGGGTGCAGGAACCCCAAGAACTCCATGCTATGGGTACAGAACCCCACACTATGGGTTCAGAACCTCACAGCCCCACCCTATAGGTACAGAACCCCATGCTATGGGGGCAGGAACCCCAAAAACCCCATACTATGGGAACAGAACCCCACAGCCCCACTCTATGGGTGCAAAACTCCATGCTATGGGTGCAGGAACCCCAAGAACCCCATACTATGAGAGCAGAAACCCACAGCACCACCCTATGGGTACAGAACCCCATGCTATGGGGGCAGGAACCCCAAAAACCCCATACTATGGATGCAGAACCCCACAGCCCCACCCTATGGGTGCAGAACCCCATACTGTGGGTGCAGGAACCCCAAGAACCCCACACTATGGGTGCAGAACCCCACAGCCCCACCCTATGGGTGCATCCCCACCCCACACAGCACAACTGGGGCACGCGGGGCCACCCCACAGCCCCGACCCCAGTGCAGCGGGGGACGTCCTTTATGGGGCCGCCCCACACCCCGCTTCCCCACCCCCCCCCCCCCCGCCCTCTCAACGCACAGGGAGAGCAGAGGAAGCTCCGACCCTCCCCGCCCCCCCCCCGCGCCCTTCCTGGTGCTGACAGCTACAGGAAGCAGCCGCGGCCCCACACATTTCCCCTATGGGGCCGCAAAGTGTCCGGCCCTAAAAACATCACCCAGCTCCTGTCCCCAATGTGTCCCTGCTGGTGCCCCGTATCCCTGCCCCCCCTCCTCCCCCCCAAGTCCTCTACACGTCCCTGTGTCTCTGCCCCACGTCCCCGTCCCCACATTCCTACCCCTGTCCCCATGTCCCTGACCCCAAGGTGTCCCCATGGCCCTGTCCCCCCGTCCCCATCCCCGATGTGGCCCTATATCCCTATCCCCCGTCCCTAATGAGTCCCCATGACTCTCCGCATCCTCATCTCCCTATCCCCAATCCACCCCAATGTCCCTGTCCCCCTGTCCCCAATGTGCCCCCATGTCCCCCTGTCCCCAATGTGCCCCCATGTCCCCAATGTGCCCCCATGTCCCCCTGTCCCCAGTGTGTCCCCATGTCCCCGTCCCCATATCTCCCTGTCCCCAATGTGCCCCCATGTCCCCCCGTCCCCAATGTGTCCCCCTGTCCCCAATGTGTCCCCATGTCCCTGTCCCCAATGTATTCTCATGTCCTCCTGTCCCCAAGTCCCTGTCCCCAATGTGCCCCCATGTCCCCCTGTCCCCAGTGTGTCCCCATGTCCCCCCGTCCCCAATGTGTCCCCCCGTCCCCAATGTGTCCCCCCGTCCCCAATGTGTCCCCATGTCCCCGTCCCCAATGTATTCTCATGTCCCCCTGTCCCCATGTCCCTGTCCCCATATCCCCGTCCCCAATGTGCCCCCATGTCCCCCTGTCCCCAATGTATCCTCATGTCTCCAATGTGTCCCCCCATCCCCAATGTGTCCCCCCGTCCCCAATGTATTCTCATGTCCCCCTGTCCCCATGTCCCCGTCCCCAATGTGCCCCCATGTCCCCCTGTCCCCATATCTCCCTTTCCCCAGTGTGTCCCCATGTCCCCGACCCCAATGTGTCCCCATGTCCCTGTCCCCAAGTCCCTGTCCCCAATGTGTCCCCCTGTCCCTGCCTCCATACCCCCTTGTCCCCATCCCCATGTCCCCCCATCCCTCTGTCCCTGTCCCCATTGTATCCCCGTGTCCCATCACTATCCTCCCTCACGTCCCCCACGGTGTCCCCACCCCTACGTCCCCCCATCTCCCCACCCCCTGTCCCTGTCCCTGCCCTCCTGTCCCTGTCCTCACGGTGTCCCCACGTCCCCCATCCTCCTGGCCGCCTCCCCTTTGCTGCTGACAGATCCGGGCTGTGAGATCCGGAGTTCCTGCAGTTTGTTCTGCAAACAAAGTCCAGGAAGGCGACGTCTCCCTGTGGGGTGGCGGCCAGGGCCACTGCCTCCCTATAACCCACCTCCCCCTATAACCCACCTCCCCCTATAACCCACCTCCCCCTATAACCCACCTCCCCCTATAACCCACCTCCCCCTATAACCCACCTCCCCCCTATAACCCACCTCCCCCTATAACCCACCTCCCCCCTATAACCCACCTCCCCCCTATAACCCACCTCCCCCTATAACCCACCTCCCCCCTATAACCCACCTCCCCCCTATAACCCACCTCCCCCCTATAACCCACCTCCCCCTATAACCCACCTCCCCCTATAACCCACCTCCCCCTATAACCCACCTCCCCCTATAACCCACCTCCCCCTATAACCCACCTCCCCCCTATAACCCACCTCCCCCTATAACCCACCTCCCCCCTATAACCCACCTCCCCCCTATAACCCACCTCCCCCTATAACCCACCTCCCCCCTATAACCCACCTCCCCCTATAACCCACCTCCCCCTATAACCCACCTCCCCCCTATAACCCACCTCCCCCTATAACCCACCTCCCCCTATAACCCACCTCCCCCCTATAACCCACCTCCCCCCTATAACCCACCTCCCCCTATAACCCACCTCCCCCTATAACCCACCTCCCCCCATAACCCACCTCCCCCTATAACCCACCTCCCCCCATAACCCACCTCCCCCTATAACCCACCTCCCCCCATAACCCACCTCCCCCTATAACCCACCTCCCCCCATAACCCACCTCCCCCCTATAACCCACCTCCCCCTATAACCCACCTCCCCCTATAACCCACCTCCCTGCCCTATAACCCACCTCCCCCCATAACCCACCTCCCCCTATAACCCACCTCCCCCCTTTAACCCACCTCCCCCCTATAACCCACCTCCCCCCTATAACCCAACTCCCCCTATAACCCACCTCCCCCTATAACCCACCTCCCCCCTATAACCCACCTCCCCCTATAACTCACCTCCCCCTATAACCCACCTCCCCCCTATAATCCACCTCCCCCTATAACCCACCTCCCCCTATAACCCACCTCCCCCCTATAACCCACCTCCCTGCCGTAGTTTTGGGGACCACACGAAGCATTTTGGAAGACCACAGCAGGCTGGGGGCTCACCCCATTGCCCCAAACCCACAGGCTGGATCCCACCCCACTGCAATCCACCCCACTGCAATCCATCCCACTGCAATCCATCCCATTGCATCCCATCTCAACAAATCCCACCTCACTGCAATTCACCCCACTGCATCAAATCCCATTGCATCCCACCCCACTGCAATCCCACCCCACTGCATCCACCCCACTGCAATCCCATCCCACAGCATCTCATCCCAACAAATCCCACCCCACTGCAATCCACCCCACTGCATCCCACTCCACTGCAATCCACCCTATTGCACCCCACCCCACTGCATCCCATCCCACTGCAATCCACCCCACTGCATCCAAACGCACTACAATCCATCCTGCTGGATCCCACAACAAATCCCATCCCATTGCAATCCACCCCACTGCATCCCACCCCAACAAATCCCATCCCAACAAATCCCACCCATTGCATCCCATCCCACAGCATCTCACCCCAACAAATCCCACCCCGCTGCATCCCACCCCATTGCAATCCATCCCATTGCATCCAAACCCCACTGCAATCCACCCCACTGCAATCCCACCCCACTGCAATCCCACCCCACTGCATCCCGCCCCATTGCAATCCACCCCATTGCATCCCATCCCATTGCAATCCCACCCCACTGGATCCCACCCCACTGCATCCCACCCCATTGCAATCCATCCCATTGCACCCCACCCCACTGCAATCCACCCCACTGCAATCCATCCCATCCCAACAAATCCCACCTCACTGCAATTCACCCCACTGCATCCCATCCCATTGCAATCCCACCCCACTGCATCCCACCCCATTGCAATCCATCCCATTGCACCCCACCCCACTGCAATCCACCCCACTGCATCCCCCCCACTGTACCCCACCCCAACAAATCCCATTCCACTGCATCCCACCCCACTGCAATCCCACCCCACTGCATCTCTCCCCACTGCATCCCATCCCAACAAATCCCACCCATGGCATCCCATCCCACAGCATCTCACTCCAACAAATCCCACCCCAACAAATCCCACCCCATTGCAATCCATCCCATTGCATCCCACCCCAGCAAATCCCCCCCCAACAAATTCTATCCCCCTGCAATCCACCCCACTGCATCCCATCCCATTGTAAACTCACCCCACTACAATCCCACCCCACTGCAATCCATCCAATTGCAGTCTACCCCACTGCAATCCCACCCCACTGCAATCCCACCCCACTGCAATCCATCCCATTGCATCCCATCCCAACAAATCCCACCTCACTGCAATTCACCCCACTGCATCCAATCCCACTGCATCCCATCCCACTGCAATCCACCCCACTGCATCCAAACGCACTACAATCCATCCCGCTGGATCCCACAACAAATCCCACCTCACTGCAATCCCTCCCCACTGCGTCCCACCCCAACAAATTCCATCCCAACAAATCCCACCCATTGCATCCCATCCCACAGCATCTCACCCCAACAAATCCCACCCCACTGCATCCCATCCCATTGCAATCCCACCCCACTGCATCCCACCTCACTGCAATCCACCCTATTGCATCCCACTCCACTGCATCCCACCCCATTGCAATCCATCCCACTGCACCCCACCCCACTGCAATCCACCCCACTGCATCCCCCCCCACTGCACCCCACCCCAACAAATCCCATTCCACTGCACCCAAACCCATTGCAATCCCACTCCACTGCATCCCACCCCACTGCAATCCCACCGCACTGCATCTCTCCCCACTGCATCCCATCCCAACAAATCCCACCCATGGCATCCCATCCCACAGCATCTCACTCCAACAAATCCCACCCCAGCAAATCCCCCCCCAACAAATTCTATCCCCCTGCAATCCACCCCACTGCATCCCATCCCATTGTAAACTCACCCCACTACAATCCCACCCCACTGCAATCCATCCAATTGCAGTCTACCCCACTGCAATCTCACCCCACTGCAATCCCACCCCACTGCAATCCCACCCCATTGCAATCCATCCCATTGCATCCCACCCCAACAAATCCCACCTCACTGCAATTCACCCCACTGCATCAAATCCCATTGCATCCCACCCCACTGCAATCCCACCCCACTGCATCCACCCCACTGCATCCCACTCCACTGCAATCCACCCCACTGCATCCAATTCCACTGCATCCCACCCCACTGCAATCCACCCCACTGCATCCAAACGCACTACAATCCATCCCGCTGGATCCCACAACAAATCCCATCCCATTGCAATCCACCCCACTGCATCCCACCCCAACGAATCCCATCCCAACAAATCCCACCCATTGCATCCCATCCCACAGTATCTCACCCCAACAAATCCCACCCCACTGCATCCCATCCCATTGCAATCCCACCCCACTGCATCCCACCTCACTGCAATCCACCCTATTGCATCCCACTCCACTGCATCCCACCCCATTGCAATCCATCCCATTGCACCCCATCCCACTGCAATCCACCCCACTGCATCCCCCCCCACTGCACCCCGCCCCAACAAATCCCATTCCACTGCACCCAAACCCATTGCAATCCCATTCCACTGCATCCCACCCCACTGCAATCCCACCGCACTGCATCTCTCCCCACTGCATCCCATCCCAACAAATCCCACCCATGGCATCCCATCCCACAGCATCTCACTCCAACAAATCCCACCCCAGCAAATCCCCCCCCAACAAATTCTATCCCCCTGCAATCCACCCCACTGCATCCCATCCCATTGTAAACTCACCCCACTACAATCCCACCCCACTGCAATCCATCCAATTGCAGTCTACCCCACTGCAATCTCACCCCACTGCAATCCCACCCCATTGCAATCCATCCCATTGCATCCCATCCCAACAAATCCCACCTCACTGCAATTCACCCCACTGCATCCAATCCCATTGCATCCCACCCCACTGCAATCCACCCCACTGCATCCAAACGCACTACAATCCATCCTGCTGGATCCCACAACAAATCCCATCCCATTGCAATCCACCCCACTGCATCCCACCCCAACGAATCCCATCCCAACAAATCCCACCCATTGCATCCCATCCCACAGCATCTCACCCCAACAAATCCCACCCCACTGCATCCCACCCCATTGCAATCCATCCCACTGCATCCAAACCCCACTGCAATCCACCCCACTGCAGTCCACCCCACTGCAATCCCACCCCACTGCATCCCATCCCAACAAATCCCACTTCACTGCAATTCACCCCACTGCATCCCATCCCATTGCAATCCCACCTCACTGTAATCCCACCCCACTGCATCCCATCCCACCGCAATCCACCCTACTGCATCCAAACGCTCTACAATCCATCCCATTGGATCCCACAACAAATCCCATCCCATTGCAATCCACCCCACTGCATCCCACCCCACTGCAATCCCACTCCACTGCATCCCACCCCATTGCAATCCATCCCATTGGACCCCACAACACGTCCCACCTCACTGCAATCCCACCTCACTGCAATCCCTCCCCACTGCGTCCCACCCCAACAAATTCCATCCCAACAAATCCCACCCATTGCATCCCATCCCACAGCATCTCACCCCAACAAATCCCATAACACTGCCTCCCACCCCACTGCAATCCACCCTACTGAATCCAAACCCACTGCAATCCATTCTGTTGGATCCCACAACAATCCCACCCCACTGCATCCCACCCCACTGCAATCCACCCTACTGCACCCCACCCCACTGCATCCTATCCCACTGCAATCCACCCCACTGCATCCAAACGCACTACAATCCATCCCATTGGATCCCACAACAAATCCCATCCCATTGCAATCCACCCCACTGCACCCCACCCCAACAAATCCCATCCCACTGCATCCAAATCCATTGCAATCCCACTCCACAGCATCCCATCCCATTGCAATCCCACCCCACTGCATCCCACCCACTGCAATCCACCCCATTGGACCCCACAACACGTCCCACTCCACTGCAATCCACCCCACTGCATCCCACCCCACAGCACCCCACCCCAACCCCATCCCATCCCCACACCTCCATCCCAATCCTCCCCCTTCCCTCCCCCCCCCGAATCCTGCCCTCATTGTCCCAGGGAAGGGACATGGGGACCTTAACTAGGACATGGGAGACCCCAATGGGGACACGGGGGACCTTCCATAAGGACAAAGACCCCAAAGAACCCACTGGGGATGTGAGAAACCCAATAGGGCCATGGGAGACCCCAATAGGGACGAGAAGACCCCCGTGGGGAAAACGAATTGGGACACAGGGACCCCAATGGGGACATGAGGAGCCTCAATGGGGCCATGGGAGACCCTAAGGGGGACACAGGGGACCTCCAACAGGGACACGAAGACCCCAATAGAGACACAGGGACCCCGATAGAGACATAGGAGATCCCAGTAGGGACACGAAGACCCCAATAGGGACATGGGGACCCCAACAGAGATGGAGGAAACCCCAGTAAGGACACGGAGACCCCAACAGGGACATAGGGACACTCAACAGACATAGGGGACGCCCACCAGGGACATGGCAAGCCCCAATAGGGACACAGGAGACCCCAATAGGGACATAGGAGACCCCAATAGGGACATAGGAGACCCCAAGACATGGGAACCTGAACAGGGACATGGCAAGCCCCAAGAGGGACACAAAGACCCCAAGAGGGACATGGCAAACCCCAGTAAGGACACAGGGACCCCAATAGGGACATGGGAACTTGAACGGGGACACGGAGACCCCAATGGGGATATGGGGACCCCCAGAAGGGCCGTAGGAGGTCCCGATAAGCATACAGAGATCCCAATAAGGACATGGTGATCCTTAATAGGGGCACAGGGATCCCAACAGGGATATGGGGATCCCAGTCTGTATACAGGGACCCCAACGGGGATATGGCAACCCCTAATAGGGTCACAGGGATCCTAGTGGGGACACGGGAACTTGAACAGGGCCCAGTAGGGACACAGATCTCAATAAGGATGCAGGAGACACCAGGACTTATTCAGGGACCCCAACAGGGACATGGGGACCCCTAAAAGGGACCCCTAAAAGGGACCCCTAAAAGGGACACAGGGACTCCTAAAAGCAACGTGGGGACTCAGGGATTCCAATAGGGACACAGCAACCCCCAAAAGGGACATGGGGACCCCAATCCGCATACAGGGACCTCAACAGGGACAAGGGGACCCCAATAGGGGCATAGGGTCCACCATAAAGACCCAGGGACGCCCACCAGGGTCATGACAACCCTCCATAGGGACACAGGAGACCCCAATACATATGCAGGGACCCCCAATAGGAACACGATGACCTCCAATAGGGAGATTGGGACCCCCTATAGGGACATAATGACCCCCATAAGGCCACGGGGACACCCACCAAGGCCATGGCAATTCCCTATAGGGACACAGCAGCCAGCAGTAGGGACACAGGGACCCCAACGGGAACATGCAGCCCCTAATAGGAACACAGGAAGCCCAACGGGGACATGGCAACCCCTAACAGGGACACAGGGAGCCCCAGTGGGACAAGGATCCCAAAAGGACCACGGCAAGCCCCAATAGGAACACATGGCAACCCCTTATAGGGACATGGGACTCCTAACAGGAACATGAGGACCCCTAGAAGGAGCAAAGGAACCCCAAAAGGGACATGAAGACCCCCAAGAGGAAAGCAAGGACCCCAGTGGGGACATGACAACCCCTAATAGAGGCACAGGCACCCACATAGGGACCCAGGAATTCCTAATAGGGGATCGCAACAGGGACGTGGAGACCCCAAAAGGAACATGGCAACTCCTAACAGGGACATAGGGGCCCCAATAGGGACATGGCAACCCCTCATTGGGATGCAGGCACCCCCATAGGAACAAGGGGACCCCTCATAAGGGCATAAGAACCCCAGGAGGGACATGTGGACCCCAAAAGGGCCACGGCAACCCCTCATAGGGACACATGGGCCACAAGGACCCCTAATAGGGACACGGCAACCCCTCATAGGGCCATGGGGACCCCATAGGGACGCAGGAACCCCTAACAGGAGCACAGGGACCCACAAAGGGACATGAGGACAACCAGCAGGAACACAGGGACCCCAGTGGGGACATGGCAACCCCTAACAGGGACACAAGGAAACCCATAGGGGCACAGGAACCAAAATAGGGACACGGAGACCCCCCTAGGAGCATAGGGACCAAAACAGGGACATGGGGATCCCTAATAGGGGCATACTGACTCCCATAGGGACATAAGGAACCCAAAAGGGCCATGGCAACCCCCAATAGGAAGACAGGGACCCTAATAGGGACATGGCAATCCCCCATAGGGACACGGGGACCCCTATATGGACATTGGGACCCCCCAAGACCCAGATAGGGATGTGAGGACCCAAAAAGGGCCATGGCAACCCCCTATAGGGACATGGGGGACCCCAGTGGCAACACAGCAGCCCCTCACAGGGACATGGGGAACCCATAGGGACACGGAACCCATAATGGGGACATGAGGACCCCAACAGATACACAGGGACCCCTCATAGGGACACAGCAACCCCATAGAGGGACATGAGAACCCCCAGTAAGAGCATAGAGACCCCTAAGAGGGCCACAGGGTTCCAATGGGAACACAGTGACACCACTGGGGACATGGCAGCCCCTCATAGGGACACAGGGACCTCCAACAGGGGCACAGGGACCCCAAAAGGGTCATGGCAACCCCCAATAGGAATGCAGGGACACAGCAGCCCCTCATAGAGAAATGGGGACCAACATAGGGACACAGGAATCCCAAGTAGGGGCACGGGGACCCCCCATAAGGACACAGGGACCCTCAATGGGGGCATACTGCCCCCCAATAGGGACATGAGAACCCCACAAGGGTCATGGTGACCCCCAATAGGAACACAGGGACCCACATAAGGACACGGCGACCCCTCATAGGGACACTGGGACCCCTAAGAGTGGTACAGGGAGCCACACAGGCACACGGGGACCCTAACAGGGACCTGAAGACCCCAAAGGGGTCATGGCAACCCCAATAGGGTCAAAGGGACCACACAGGGACATGGTAGCTCCTCACAGGGACCCACATAGGGACAAAGGGACCCCCATCAGGACAGAGGGACCCCAATAGGGCCACAGAGACCCCCCCCATAGGACATGGGGACCCCTAATAGGGACACAGGGACCCCCATAAAGACACGGGGACCCCCAGTAGGGGCATGGGGACCCATATAGGGCCATGGGGACCCCTAATAGGGACACAGAGACCCCCATAAGGACACAGGGATCCCCCAATAGGGGCACAGGGACCCCAAAGGGGACATGGTAGCCCCTCATAGGGACATGATGACCCCAATAGGAACACAGGGACCCACATAGGGACATAGCAACCCCTCATAGGGACAGGGGGACCCACATACAGACACGGGGAGCCCCCTTATAGGGGCAAGAGGATTCCCCATAGGGACACAAGAACCCCTACTAGGGGCACAGGGACCATTCATAGGGACACGGGGACCAACATAGGGGCACAGGGACCCCAATGGGGAACATGGCAACCCCTAATAGGAACACGGGGACCCACACAGGGACACGGGGACCCCCGTGGGGACACAGCTGCCCCTCACAGGGACATGGCAACCCCCAATAGGAAGATATGGACCCCAATAAGGACAGGGGGACCCCAATAGGAGCACAGGGACCCCAGAGGGGACATGGCAACCCCCAGAAGGGGCATAGGGACCTGCACAGGGATCCACAAAGGGGAACAGGGAGCCCCCATAGGGACACAGGGACCCACACAGGGACATGGCAACCCCCCATAAGGAACACAGGGATCCTCCATAGGAACACAGGGACCCCAAACAGGGCCACAGGAAGGCCTAATAGGGCCACAGGGATCCCAGTGGGGACACGGCAGCCCCACATAATGACACGGAGACCCCATAGGAACACAGGGATCCACACATGGACATGGCAACTCCTCATAGGGGCACTGGGACCCTCCATAGAGACACAGGGACTGACACAGGGGCACAGGGACCCCAACGGGGGACATGGCAACCCCCAGTAGGAACACAGGGACCCTCCATAAGGACATGGCAACCCCCAATAGGGCCACAGGGATCCCAACAGGGACACGGCAGCCCCTCATAGGGACATGGAGACCCCAATAGGAACACAGGGACCCACACAGGGACTTGGCAACTCCTCATAGGGACACAGGGACCCATATAGGGACACAGGAACCCCTGATAGGGGCACAGGGACCATTCATAGGGACACAGGGACCCCAAAAGGGACACATGGACCCCAATGGGGAACATGGCAACCCCTAATAGGAACACGGGGACCCACATAGGGACACAGGGACTCCAATGGGGACACGGCTGCCCCTCATAGGGACATGGCAACCCCCAATAGGAAGATATGGACCCCAATAAGGACAGGGGGGACCCCAATAGGAACACAGGGACCCCAGAGGGGACATGGCAACCGCCCCCAGTAGGGGCATAGGGACCTGCACAGGGATCCACATAGGGACATGGGGAGCCCCCACAGGGACACAGAGACCCACATAGGGACATGGGGACCCTAATAGGAACACAGGGATCCCAGTGGGGACATGGCAGCCCCTCATAGGGACATGGAGACCCCATTAGGAACACAGGGACCCACACAGGGACATGGCAACCCCTCATAGAATCATAGAATCATGGAATCATAGAATCACCAAGGTTGGAAAAGACCTAAAAGATCATCCAGTCCAACCGTTCACCTATTCCCAATAGCTCCTACTAAACCATGTCCCTCAATACAACATCCAGTCTTTCCTTGAACACCCCCAGGCTCGGTGACTCCACCACCTCCCTGGGCATCCATTGCAGTGCCTGACCACCCTTTCCGAAAAGTAATACTTCCTCATGTCCAGCCTGAATCTCCCCTGCCGTAGCTTGAAGCCATGACACAGGGACCCACATAGGGACACAAGAACCCCTAATAGGGGCACTGGGACCCTCCATAGGGACACAGGGACCGACACAGGGGCACAGGGACCCCAACAGGGGACATGGCAACCTCCAATAGGGGCACAGGGATCCCCCATATGGACATGGGGACCCCAATAGGAGCACAGGGACACAGGGGCACAGGGACCATTCATAGGGACACAGGGACCCCAAAAGGGGCACAGGGACCCCAATGGGGGACATGGCAACCCCTAATAGGAACACGGGGACCCACATAAGGACACGGGGACCCCCGTGGGGACACGGCTGCCCCTCATAGGGACATTGCAACCCCCAATAGGAAGATATGGACCCCAATAAGGACAGGGGGACCCCAATAGGAGCACAGGGACCCCAGAGGGGACATGGCAACCCCCAGAAGGGGCATAGGGACCTGCACAGGGATCCACAAAGGGGAACAGGGAGCCCCCATAGGGACACAGGGACCCACATAGGGACATGGGGACCCCAATAGGAAGACAGGGATCCCAGTGGGGACATGGCAGCCCCTCATAGGGACATGGAGACCCCAATAGGAACACAGGGACCCACACAGGGACATGGCAACCCCTCGTAGGGACAGGCGGACCCATATAGGGTCACAGGAACCCCTAATAGGGGCACTGGGACCCTCCATAGGGACACAGGGACCGACACAGGGGCACAGGGACCCCAACGGGGAACATGGCAACCCCCAATAGGGGCACAGGGATCCCCCATATGGACATGGGGACCCCAATAGGAGCACAGGGACCCCAGAGGGGACATGGCAGCCCCTCATAGGGACATGGAGACCCCAATAGGAACACAGGGACCCACACAGGGACATGGCAGCCCCTCATAGGGACAGGGGGACCCACATAGGGTCACAGGAACCCCTAATAGGGGCACTGGGACCCTCCATAGGGACACAGGGACCGGCATAGGGACATGGCAACCCCCCAACAGGAACACAGGAACCCCATAAGGAGCACAGGGACCCCAAACAGGACCACAGGAACGCCTAATAGGGCAACAGGGATCCCAGTGGGGACACGGCAGCCCCTCATAGGGACATGGAGACCCCAATAGGAACACAGGGACCCACACAGGGACATGGCAACCTCTCACAGGGACACGGGGACCCATACAGGATCACAGGAAGCCCTAATGGGGGCACAGGGACCCCAACAGGGGACATGGCAACCCCCCATAGGAACACAGGGACCCACACAGGGACACGGCAACCTCTCATAGGGACACGGGGACCCATACAGGATCACAGGAACCCCTGATAGGGGCACAGGGACCATTCATAGGGACACAGGGACCCCAAAAGGGGCACAGGGACCCCAATGGGGGACATGGCAACCCCTAATAGGAACACCGGGACCCACATAAAGACACGGGGACTCCAATGGGGACACGGCTGCCCCTCATAGGGACATGGCAAAACCCAATAGGAACATATGGACCCCAATAAGGACAGGGGGACCCCAATAGGAGCACAGGGACACCAGAGGGGACATGGCAGCCCCCAGTAGGGGCATAGGGACCTGCACAGGGATCCACACAGGGACACGGGGAGCCCCCACAGGGACACAGGGACCCACATAGGGACATGGGGACCCCAATAGGAAGACAGGGATCCCAGTGGGGACATGGCAGCCCCTCATAGGGACATGGCGACCCCATTAGGAACACAGGGACCCACACAGGGACATGGCAACCCCTCATAGGGACACAGGGACCCGCATAGGGACACAAGAACCCCTAATAGGGGCACTGGGACCCTCCATAGGGACACAGGGACGGACACAGGGGCACAGGGACCCCAACAGGGGACATGGCAACCGCCAATAGGGGCACAGGGATCCCCCATATGGGCATGGGGACCCCAATAGGAGCACAGGGACCCCAAAGGGGACATGGCAGCCCCTCATAGGGACATGATGACCCCAATAGGAACACAGGGACCCACACAGGGACTTGACAACTCCTCATAGGGACACAGGAACCTCTGATAGGGGCACAGGGACCATTCATAGGGACACAGGGACCCCAAAAGGGGCACAGGAACCCCAATGGGGGACATGGCTACCCCTAATAGGAACACGGGGACCCACAGAGGGACACGGGGACCCCCGTGGGGACACAGCTGCCCCTCATAGGGACATGGCAACCCCCAATAGGAAGATATGGACCCCAATAAGGACAGGGGGACCCCAATAGGAGCACAGGGACCCCAGAGGGGACATGGCAGCCCCCAGTAGGGGCATAGGGACCTGCACAGGGATCCACATAGGGACACTGGGAGCCCCCACAGGGACACAGAGACCCACATAGGGACATGGCAACCCCCCAATACGAACACAGGCATCCCAGTGGGGACATGGCAGCCCCTCATAGGGACATGGAGACCCGAATAGGAACACAGGGACCCACACAGGGACACAAGAACCCCTCATAGGGACACAGGGACCCACATAGGGACACAAGAACCCCTAATAGGGGCATTGGGACCCTCCATAGGGACACAGGGATCGACACAGGGGCACAGGGACCCCAGAGGGGACACCGCAGCCCCTCATAGGGACATGGAGACCCCGATAGGAACACAGGGACCCACACAGGGACATGGCAACCCCTCATAGGGACACGGGGACCCTCCATAGGGACACAGGGACCGACACAGGGGCACAGGGACCCACATAGGGACATGGCAACACCAAATAGGAACACAGGGACTCCCATAAGGACAGGGGGACCCCAACAGGAGCACAGGGACCCACACAGGGACACAAGAACCCCTCATAGGGACACAGGGACCCACATAGGAACACAAGAACCGCTAATAGGGGCATTGGAACCCTCCATAGGGACACAGGGACCGACACAGGGGCACAGGGACCCCAACGGGGGACATGGCAACCCCCAATAGGGGCACAGGGATCCCCCATATGAACATGGGGACCCCCATAGGAGCACAGGGACCCCAGAGGGGACATGGCAGCCCCTCATAGGGACATGGAGACCCCAATAGGAACACAGGGACCCACACAGGGACATGGCAGCCCCTCACAGGGACACGGGGACCCACATAGGAACACAAGAACCCCTAATAGGGGCACTGGGACCCTCCATAGGGACACAGGGACCGGCATAGGGACATGGCAACCCCCCAACAGGAACACAGGAACCCCATAAGGAGCACAGGGACCCCAAACAGGACCACAGGAACGCCTAATAGGGCCACAGGGATCCCAGTGGGGACACGGCAGCCCCTCATAGGGACATGGAGACCCCAATAGGAACACAGGGACCCACACAGGGACACGGCAACCTCTCACAGGGACACGGGGACCCATACAGGATCACAGGAAGCCCTAATGGGGGCACAGGGACCCCAACAGGGGACATGGCAACCCCCCATAGGAACACGGGGACCCACATAGGGACACGGGGACCCCAGTGGGGACGCGGTTGCCCCTCATAGGGACATGGCAACCCCCAATAGGAACACAGGGACTCCCATAAGGACAGGGGGCCCCCAAAAGGAGCACAGGGACCCACACAGGGACATGGCAACCCCTCATAGGGACACAGGGACCCATATAGGGACACAAGAACCCCTAATAGGGACACGGGGACCCTCCATAGGGACACAGGGACCGACACAGGGGCACAGGGACCCCAACGGGGGACATGGCAACCCCCAACAGGGGCACAGGGATCCCCCATATGGACAAGGCAACCCCCAATAGGGGCACAGGGATCCCCCATATGGACATGGGGACCCCAATAGGAGCACAGGGACCCCAGAGGGGAATGGCAGCCCCTCATAGGGACACGGAGACCCCAATAGGAACACAGGGACCCACACAGGGACTTGACAACTCCTCATAGGGACAGGGGGACCCACATACAGACACGGGAATCCCCCTTGTAGGGGCAAGAGGACTTCCCATAGGGACACAGGAACCCCTATAGGGGCACGGGGACCCTCCATAAGGACATGGAGACCCCCAACAGGGCCACAGGGATCCCAGTGGGGACACGGCAGCCCCTCATAGGGACGTGGAGACCCCAATAGGAACACAGGGACCCACACAGGGACATGGCAACCCCTCATAGGGACACAGGGACCCACATAGGGACACAAGAACCCCTAATAGGGACACGGGGACCCTCCATAGGGACACAGGGACCGACACAGGGGCACACGGACCCACACAGGGACATGGCAACCCCCAGTAGGGACACAGGGATCCCCCATATGGACATGGGGACCCCAATAGGAGCACAGGGACCCCAAACAGGGCCACAGGAACGCCTAATAGGGCCACAGGGATCCCAGTGGGGACACGGCAGCCCCTCATAGGGACATGGAGACCCCAATAGGAACACAGGGACCCACACAGGGACACGGCAACCTCTCACAGGGACACGGGGACCCATACAGGATCACAGGAAGCCCTAATGGGGGCACAGGGACCCCAACAGGGGACATGGCAACCCCCCATAGGAACACGGGGACCCACATAGGGACACGGGGACCCCCGTTGTGACACAGCTGCCCCTCATAGGGACATGGCAACCCCCAATAGGAACACAGGGACCCCAATAGGAGCACAGGGACCCCAAACAGGACCACAGGAACGCCTAATAGGGCCACAGGGACCTCAACAGGGGGCCGTGGCAACCCCTAACACGGCCTCACGGACCCCCCATAGGGCCACATTCCCCCCCCCCCCCCCCCCAATTCCCGCTCCCCGCTCACCGCGTGCCTTTGTCTCCCATGGCCCCGCAGATCCGAGCAGCGCTGAGGTGAAATTCGGGCCGGGTCGCCGCCTCTCCCCCCCCCACCCCCCCCCACCCGCCCCCCCCCCCCCCTAAAAAAAAAAAAAAGAAAAAAAAAAGAAAATCCTCTGGCCGATCCCCACCCAACCCCTCGCTACAGACACAAACGCGCACAGCTCCCCCCTCCTCCTCCTCCTCCTCCTCCTCCTGCGGCCGCCGATGCCGCTCCTATGGGGAGGGGGGTTGGGGGGGGTTGGAGGGGCGGCCCCGAGCAGCGGCGCTGCGGTTGTGTGAGGAGAAAAAAATGGGGGGGGGGGGGGGAGGGGCGGGAAAAGGCGGGAACGACGCCGCCTAGCGGAGAGAGCGGGAAAGGGGGGGGCGAGCGGCACTGCGCATGCGCGCGGCTCCGTTCGGTGCGCATGCGCAGTGTGTGTCTGTGTGCGCGTTCAGTGAGTGTGCATGCAGCTCTTTTGCAGGTCAGTGTGCGTGCATGCAGCTCCTGTGTGTGTGCATGTAGTGAGTGCATGCGTGCAGCTCTTTTGCAGGTCAATGTGCGTGCATGCAGCTCTTTTGCAGGTCAGTGTGCATGCATGCAGCTCCTGTGTGTGCGCATGTAGTGAGTGCATGCGTGCAGCTCTTTTGCAGGTCAGTGTGCGTGCATGCAGCTCCTGTGTGTGCGCATGTAGTGAGTGCATGAATGCAGCTCTTTTGCAGGTCAGTGTGCGTGCATGCAGCTCCTGTGTGTGTGCATGTAGTGAGTGCATGCATGCAGCTCTTTTGCAGGTCAGTGTGCGTGCATGCAGCTCCTGTGTGTGTGCATGTAGTGAGTGCATGCGTGCAGCTCTTTTGCAGGTCAATGTGCGTGCATGCAGCTCTTTTGCAGGTCTGTGTGCATGCATGCAGCTCCTGTGTGTGTGTGCATGTAGTGAGTGCATGCGTGCTGCTCTTTTGCAGGTCTGTGTGCGTGCATGCAGCTCCTGTGTGTGCGCATGTAGTGAGTGCATGCGTGCAGCTCTTTTGCAGGTCAGTGTGCGTGCATGCAGCTCCTGTGTGTGTGCACATTAGTGAGTGCATGCATGCAGCTCTTTTGCAGGTCAGTGTGCGTGCATGCAGCTCTTGTGTGTGCGCATGTAGTGAGTGCATGCATGCAGCTCTTTTGCAGGTCTGTGTGCATGCATGCAGCTCTTTTGCAGGTCAGTGTGCATGCATGCAGCTCCTGTGTGTGCGCATGTAGTGAGTGCATGCATGCAGCTCTTTTGCAGGTCAGTGTGCGTGCATGCAGCTCCTGTGTGTGCGCATGTAGTGAGTGCATGAATGCAGCTCTTTTGCAGGTCAGTGTGCGTGCATGCAGCTCCTGTGTGTGTGCATGTAGTGAGTGCATGCATGCAGCTCTTTTGCAGGTCAGTGTGCGTGCATGCAGCTCCTGTGTGTGTGCATGTAGTGAGTGCATGCGTGCAGCTCTTTTGCAGGTCAATGTGCGTGCATGCAGCTCTTTTGCAGGTCTGTGTGCATGCATGCAGCTCCTGTGTGTGTGTGCATGTAGTGAGTGCATGCGTGCTGCTCTTTTGCAGGTCTGTGTGCGTGCATGCAGCTCCTGTGTGTGCGCATGTAGTGAGTGCATGCATGCAGCTCTTTTGCAGGTCAGTGTGCGTGCATGCAGCTCTTGTGTGTGCGCATGTAGTGAGTGCATGCATGCAGCTCTTTTGCAGGTCTGTGTGCATGCATGCAGCTCTTTTGCAGGTCAGTGTGCGTGCATGCAGCTCCTGTGTGTGCGCATGTAGTGAGTGCATGCATGCAGCTCTTTTGCAGGTCTGTGTGCGTGCATGCAGCTCCTGTGTGTGCGCATGTAGTGAGTGCATGCATGCAGCTCTTTTGCAGGTATGTGTGCGTGCATGCAGCTCCTGTGTGTGTGCGCATGTAGTGAGTGCATGCGTGCAGCTCTTTTGCAGGTCAGTGTGCGTGCATGCAGCTCCTTTGCACTTGTGTGTGCATGTAGTGAGCGTGCATGCACCTTTTTTGCAGGTCAGTGTGCGTGCATGCAGCTCCCTTGTGTGTGTGTGTGCATGTAGTGAGTGCATGCATGCAGCTCTTTTGCAGGTCTGTGTGCATGCATGCAGCTCCCTTGCATGCTTGTGTGCATATTGTGTGCGCGTGCATGCGGCTCTTTTGCAGGTCTGTGTGTGCATGCTGTGAGTGCAAATACATGCAGCTCCTTTGCATGTGTGTTTGCACGTAGTGAGTGCATGCGTGCAGCTCTTTTGCAGGTCTGTGTGTATGCATGCAGCTCCTTTGCGTGTGTGTGTGCATATAGTGAGTGTGTGCATGCAGCTCCTTTGCATGCCTGTCTGCACACAGTGCATATGCATGCAGCTCCTTTGCGTGTCTGCTCATGCATCGCCCTGTCTGTGTTTGCAGGGGGGTTGCAAGAACCCCTTGGTGCCACCTCATGGCATTGGGGACCCCGTGGTGCCACCCCACGACATCGGGAACCCGTTGGTGCCACCCCATGGCATTGGGGACTCCTTGTTGCCACCCAATGGCACTGACAACCCTATGGTTCCACCTTATGACATTGAGAACCCCCTGGTGCCACCCAATGGCGTCGGTGACCCCTTGGTTCCCCCCCATGGCATTGAGAATCCCCTGGTGCCACCCCATAGTGTTGGGGACCTCTTGTTGCCACCCCATGGCGTTGGGGGCCCCTTGGTGCCATCCTATAGTGTTGGGGACCTCTTGTTGCCACCCAATGATATTGGGAACCCCTTGTTAACATCCATGGCATTGGGGACCCCTTGGTGTCACCCCATGGTGTTGGTGACCCGTTGTTGCCACTCCATGGCATTGAGAACCCCTTGGTGCCACCCCAAGGCATTGAAAATCCCCTGGTGCCACCCCATGGCATTGAAGACCCCTTGGTGCCACCCCATGGCGTTGGGGACCCCTTGTTGCCACTCCATAGCATTGGGAACCCCTTGTTAACATCCATGGCATTGAGAACCCCTTGGTGTCACCCCATGGTGTTGGTGACCTGTTGTTGCCACCTCATGACACTGAGAACCCCTTGTTGCCACCCCATGGCATTGAAAACCCCCTGGTGCCACCCCATGGCACTGGGGACCCCTTGGTACCACCTGATGGTGTTGGTGACCCCTTGTTGCCACTCCATGGCATTGAGAACCCCTTGGAGACACTCCATAGCATTGGTGACTCCTTGTTGCCACCCTAAAACATTGAGACCCCTTGGTGCCACCCCATGGCGTTGGGGACCTCTTAGTTCCACCCTATGGCATTGAGAACCCCTTGGAGACACTCCATAGCGTTGGTGACTCCTTGTTGCCATCCCATGACATTGGGAACCCCTTGGTGCCACCCCATGGCATTGAGAACCCCTTGGTGCCACCCCATGGCGTTGGGGACCTCTTGTTGCCACTCCATAGCATTGGGAACCCCTTGTTAACATCCATGGCATTGAGAACCCCTTGGAGACACTCCATAGCCTTGGTGACTCCTTGTTGCCACCCTAAAACAGTGAGACCCGTTGGGGGACCCCATAGCGTTGGGGACCCCTTGTTGCCACCCTATGGCATTGAGAACCCCTTGGAGACACTCCATAGCACTGGTGACTCCTTGTTGCCACCCTAAAACATTGAGACCCCTTGGTGCCACCCAATGGCATTGGGGACCTCTTAGTTCCATCCTATTGCATTGAGAACCCCTTGGAGAGACTCCATAGCCTTGGTGACTCCTTGTTGCCATCCCACGACATTGGGAACCCATTGGTGCCACCAAATGGCATTGGGAACCCCTTGGTGCCACCCCATGGCATTGAAGACTCCTTGGTGCCACTCGATGGTGTTGGGGACCCCTTCTTGCCACCCCATGGCGTTGGGGACCTCTTGTTGCCACTCCATAGCATTGGGAACCCCTTGTTAACATCCATGGCATTGAGAACCCCTTGGTGTCACCGCATGGTGTTGGTGACCCGTTGTTGCCACCTCATGACATTGAGAACCCCTTGGTGCCACCCCAAGGCATGGAAAACCCCCTGGTGCCACCCCATGGCATTGAGAACCCCTCGGTGCCACCCTATGGCATTGAGAACCCCTTGGAGAGACTCCATAGCATTGGTGACTCCTTGTTGCCATCCCACAACATTGGGAACCCCTTGGTGCCACCCGATGGTGTTGGTGACCCCTTGTTGCCACTCCATGGCATTGAGAACCCCTTGGAGACACTCCATAGCATTGGTGACTCCTTGTTGCCACCCTAAAACATTGAGACCACTTGGTGCCACCCCATGATGTTAGGGACCCCTTGGTGCCACCCCATGGCGTTGAGGACCCCTTGTTGCCACCTCATGACATTGAGAAGCCCTTGTTGCCACCCCAAGGCATTGCTGACCCCTTGGTGCCACCCCAAGGCTTTGAAAACCCCCTGGTGCCACCCCATGGCATAGAGAACCCCTTGGTACCGCCTGATGGTGTTTGGGACCCCATGTTGCCACCCTATGGCATTGAGAACCCCTTGGAGACACTCCATAGCATTGGTGACTCCTTGTTGCCACCCTAAAACATTGAGACCCCTTGGTGCCACCCCATGGCGTTGGGGACCTCTTAGTTCCATCCTATTGCATTGAGAACCCCTTGGTGCCACTCCATAGCGTTGGTGACTCCTTGTTGCCATCCCACGACATTGGGAACCCTTTGGTGCCACCAAATGGTGTTGGGGACCCCTTGGTGCCACCCCATGGCATTGAAGACCCCTTGGTGCCACTCTATGGCGTTGGGGACCCCTTCTTGCCACCCCATGGCGTTGGGGACCTCTTGTTGCCACTCCATAGCATTGGGAACCCCTTGTTAACATCCATGGCATTGAGAACCCCTTGGTGTCACCCCATGGTGTTGGTGACCCGTTGTTGCCACCTCATGACACTGAGAACCCCTTGGTGCCACCCCAAGGCATGGAAAACCCCCTGGTGCCACCCCATGGCATTGAAAACCCCTTGGTGCCACCCTATGGCATTGAAGACCCCTTGGTGCCGCCCAATGGTGTTGGGAACCCCTTGGTGCCACTCCATAGCGTTGGTGACTCCTTGTTGCCACCCCACGACATCGGGAACCCGTTGGTGCCACCAAATGGCGTTGGGGACCCCTTGGTGCCACCCCATGGCATTGAAGACCCCTTGGTGCCACCCGATGGCATTGGGAACCCCTTGGTGTCCCCCTGGCTCCCCAGGACGACTCACAGTGCGCCTCCACCACCGCCAGAGATCGACGTACGAAATTTATTAGGAAAACCAAAACCCACCACCAAAAAAAAAAAAAGAAAAAAAAATACAAAAAAATACCAAAAAAAAAAAAAAAAAAACCAAACAAAAAACCCAACCAACCAAAATCAAACAAACAAACAAAAAAACCAATCAGGAAAGGAAATGCCAAAGAAGAGGAAGAGGAGGACAGAACCGCTCCAGCTCAGCCCCGTCGGAGCCGAGCGCGGCGCAACCACAGAAGCTGCGGGGTGCACGCGAGGCACAGGGCGGCACACAGCGGGCTTTGGGGGTCTGCCACCACCCCGACACCGAGGGGACACGCGGCTGTGCGTCACCGACCCGCGTCTCCGCCACGGGGCCGGAGCTGGCGCCGGCTTGGGGAGCTCCGTCCGAACCACGGCGCCTTGAAACGTGGTTTCTCGCCTCTCGAAACCATGGCGAGGTGGGCAAGGAGCTGAGCGCACGCAGCCCCCTCCCCACGACTGGGGACGCGGCGCGGATGAAGGTCGGTGCTGGCGATGGGGCGAACACCGCGCTGGCTTTTTCCTGTATCCTTTTGGGGTTGGTTTTGTTTTTTGTTGCCTTTGGGGTCCTTCCCGCCCCGTGGGAAGGTCGGGGGTGAAGCAGTGGGGGCACGAAGCGGGGCCGTACAAAGCGTCTCTCTGAAGGCATCTCCAAGGAGGTAAGGCAGAACGGACGTGGCCCCACAGTGGCTTTGGGGGGAACCCCGTTGACTCTCACACCGAAGCGGACGAATCGTCGTTGCAGCATTTGGGGATTTGGGGCCAACTGGGCACCTCGAGGGATGGGGACCCAACAGTCAGCGGGGTGGGGGCCGTAGGAGACTTGGAGGGGCCGCGCGTGGCCACCACAGGGACCACAAAGGCCACCACGATTCATGCATGGCAGTCAGCAGGGCCAGAAGGACGTGGGGAGCTCACCAAAGTCCATTCGTGGCGGTAGTTGAGATCAGAGGACTGTGGAAGGGTGGAAGGGGTCATGCATGGTGGTCAGCAGGGTGAGAAGCATGTGGGGAGGTCACCAAAATCAATGCTTGGTAGTTTGTAGGGCAGAAAGGTGGATGGGATGCTGATAGTGGCCATGCATGGTGCTGTGTAGGGCCAGAAGGACGTGGGCAGCTCACCAAAATCAATGCATGTCTTTGGGATCAGAGGACCATGGAAGGGTGGAAGGGGCCATGAATGGTGGTCAGCAGGGTGAGAAGGACTTGGAGAGTCCGCCAAAGTTCATGCATGGTGGTTTGTAGGACAGAAAGGCCTATGGGATGCTGATAGTGGCCATGCATGGCAGTCAGTAGGGCCAGAAGGACGTGGGGAGGTCACCAAAATCAATGCATGGTGATCTTTGGGATCAGAGGACCATGGAAGGGTGGAAGGGGCCATGCATGGTGGTCAGTAGGGTGAGAAGGTCTTGGAGAGTCCGCCAAAGTTCATGCATGGTGGTTTGTAGGACAGAAAGGTGGATGGGATGCTGATAGTGGCCATGCATGGTTTCTGTAGGGCCAGAAGGACGTGGGGAGGTCACCCAAATCAATGCATGTCTTTGGGATCAGAGGACCTGTGGGAGGGAGGAAGTGGCCATGCATGGTGGTCAGCAGGGCCAGAAGGACGTGGGCAGGTCACCAAAATCAATGCATGGTGGTCTTTGGGATCAGAGGACCATGGAAGGGGCCATGCATGGTGGCCTGTGGGGTGGTGGGGTCAAGGGGACGTTAGCAGGGGCGATGCATGGTGGTCTTTGGGGTCAGAGGGACCGTAGGAAGATGGCAGCGTCCATACAGAGCATTCGATAGGACCAAGGGGAGCACAATGGGATGGCAGTGCCTGTAGGACCGAGGAAACGCAATGGGATGGCAGCGTCCATACACAGCAATCAATAGGGCTGAAGGGGTCACCATGGGATGGCAGTGTCCATATGTGGGGGTCTGTAGAGCAGGGGGATACCAGTGGGATGGCAGTGTCCATAGATGGGGGTCTGTAGGACTGGGGGGACCCCAATGGGATGTCAGTGCCCATGCATGGGGGTCTGTAGGAGCAGAACCCCAATGGGATGCCAGTGTTCATGCATGGGGGTCTGTAGGATTGGGGGGGGACCCCAATGGGATGGCATTGTCCATGCATGGGGGTCTGTAGGAGCACAGAGACCCCAGTGTCCATGCATGGGGGTCTGTAGGATTGGGGGGACCCCAACGGGATGTCAGTGCCCATGCATGGGGGTCTGTAGGAGCACAGGGACCCCAGTGTCCATGCATGGGGGTCTGTAGGATTGGGGGGGACCCCAATGGGATGGCAGTGTCCATGCATGGGGGTCTGTAGGAGCACAGAGACCCCAGTGTCCATGCATGGGGGTCTGTAGGATTGGGGGGACCCCGATGGGATGGCAGTGCCCATACATGGGGGTCTGTAGGAGCAGAACCCCAATGGGATGGCGGGGGTCTGTAGTACTGGGGGGGACCTCAATGGGATGTCAGTGCCCATGTTTGGGAGTCTGTAGGATTGGGGGGGACCCCAACGGGATGGCAGTGCCCATGCATGGGGGTCTGTAGGAGCACAGAGACCCCAGTGTCCATGCATGGGGGTCTGTAGGATTGGGGGGACCCCGATGGGATGGCAGTGTCCATACATGGGGGTCTGTAGGAGCAGAACCCCAATGGGATGGCGGGGGTCTGTAGGACTGGGGGGGACCCCAACGGGATGCCAGTGCCCATGCATGGGGGTCTGTAGGATTGGGGGACCCCAATGGGATGGCAGTGTCCATGCATGGGGGTCTGTAGGAGCACAGAGACCCCAACGGGATGGCAGTGTCCATGCATGGGGGTCTGTAGGATTGGGGGGACCCCAATGGGATGGCAGTGCCCATGCATGGGGGTCTGTAGGATTGGGGGACCCCAACGGGATGCCAGTGCCCATGCATGGGGGTCTGTAGGATTGGGGGACCCCAATGGGATGGCAGTGCCCATGCATGGGGGTCTGTAGGATTGGGGGACCCCGATGGGATGGCAGTGCCCATGCATGGGGGTCTGTAGGACTGGGGGGGACCCCGATGGGATGGCAGTGCCCATGCATGGCAGCTGATGGGACGATGGCACACCAACAGGGTCCGTGCACGGCGACCAGGAATCACTGCCACCACCTGCATCCAGCTCACCTGGACCCACAGATCCCGAACCGGGAGCCCCCAGATCCCCCCCCCCCCATCCTTTGCAGGGCTCTGCAGGATTGGGACAGCCAATGGGACACCCGACCTGCCACCCCAAAAGGGTTCTGGAGGTCCCCCCCCATCGCTGCTGCCCCCAGGAGCACAGCCCCCAGCCCCCCACCCTCCAGAAGCTGTGGGTTGTCCCCAACCCATCCCATCCCCCCCCCCCCCAAATCTCTCCCCATCGCCTGCCCCACAACGTGGCCCCATTCCAGGGGACAGCAGCATTGGGGAGCCCCAAAAAAACATCCCCCATGTGGACACTGCTGTCCCCAAGCGCCACCATGGCTGGGGCTGTGGTGACACAGAGGGGACGTCGTCCCACGGGTGGCACAGGGGCACGGATCGCACCCCATCATCACCTCGTCCCATCCCCAACCCTTGTGTCGTCCCCCCCCCCAATGCCATCCTCACTCTGCCCCGGACTCTGGGTGCCCCTCAGCATCCAGGCACCCGTTCATCTGTGGGTCTGGGGTCTGTGGGTCGTAGTCCTCATCCAAAAAGTCCAGGGAGTTGTTGCTGGGCAGCCCCCGGATGGTGAATTTGTGGGACACTTTGGTCCACTGCTCCCGGTTGCTGGCGACGCGCTCGTAGAGCTCCGAGGCTTTGGGGAAGAGATCCTGCAGCAACCTATGGGGGGAAAAAGGCACCGGGGGGCCCAAACCCCAACGTTGGAAAAGCACTGGGGGGGCTGCAAGGCAGCGCTGAGCTGTGGGGTGAAGTGGGGAGATGGGAATGGGAGCCTGGCCCAACCCAGAGCCATGGGGTGCAATGGGGACGATGGGAACGTGTCTCCATCCCAACACTATGGGATCAATGGGGGCAATGGGAATGAATCTCCATCCCAACCCAGAGCCATGGGATGCCATGGGGGCAATGGGGGCAATGAGGGTCATAGGGGCAATGGGGGCAATGGGAATGTGTTCCCATCCCAAAAGTATGGGGTGCAATGGGGACAATAGGAACGTGTCCCCATCCCAACACTATGGGATCAGTGGGGGCAATGGGGTCGTGTCCATATTATAACACTATGGGATGCAATAGGGGCAATGGGAATGAATCTCCATCCCAACCCAGAGCCATGGGATGCAATGGGGGCAATGGGGGCAAGGGGGGCAAGGGGGGCAATGGGGGCAATGAGGGTCATAGGGGCAATGGGGGCAATGGGGGCAATGGGGGCAATGGGGGCAATGGGGGCAATGGGGGCAATGGGGGCAAGGGGGGCAATGGGGGCAATGGGAATGTGTTCCCATCCCAAAAGTATGGGGTGCAATGGGGACAATGGGGTCATGTCCCCAGCCCAGAGACATTGGGTGCAATGGGGACAATAGGAACGTGTCCCCATCCCAACACTATGGGATCAGTGGGGGCAATGGGGTCGTGTCCATATTATAACACTATGGGATGCAATAGGGGCAATGGGAATGAATCTCCATCCCAACCCAGAGCCATGGCATGCAATGGGGGCAATGGGGGCAAGGGGGGCAAGGGGGGCAAGGGGGGCAAGGGGGGCAACGGGGGCAATGAGGGTCATAGGGGCAATGGGGGCAATGGGGGCAAGGGGGGCAATGGGGGCAAGGGGGGCAATGGGGGCAATAGGGGCAATGGGGGCAATGGGGGCAATGGGGGCATTGGGGTCGTGTCCCTATTATAACACTATGGGATCAATGGGGGCCATGGGGTCGTGTCCCTATTATAACACTATGGGATCAATGGGGGCCATGGGGTCGTGTCCCTATTATAACACTATGGGATGCCATAGGGCCATGGGGTCGTGTCCCTATTATAACACTATGGGATGCCATAGGGCCATGGGGTCGTGTCCCTATTATAACACTATGGGATGCCATAGGGCCATGGGGTCGTGTCCCTATTATAACACTATGGGATGCCATAGGGCCATGGGGTCGTGTCCCTATTATAACACTATGGGATCAATGGGGGCAATGGGGTCGTGTCCCTATTATAACACTATGGGATCAATGGGGGCCATGGGGTCGTGTCCCTATTATAACACTATGGGATGCCATAGGGCCATGGGGTCGTGTCCCTATTATAACACTATGGGATGCCATAGGGCCATGGGGTCGTGTCCCTATTATAACACTATGGGATGCCATAGGGCCATGGGGTCGTGTCCCCCCCCCCCAGCTTGCAGTCCCCCTTTGGGCCCTCACTTGTAGATGGGCATGGCGATGTGCTCCATGAAGCTGATCTGCAGCTCAGGGATGTAGGCTTTCTCCCTGTCCATCATCTCCAGCGGGCGGTTGCCCATGGCTTTCTCCTATAGGACCAGCAAAAATATTTGGGGTGGGGGGTTGAGGGGGGGGGGGGGTCAGTGCCGGACCGCTTCACCTGTGCCCCCCTCCCCCCAAATGAATGCAGAGCTTCACCCCCACGGCACCTACCAGGTCTCCTTGGGAGAAGAACTCCTTGTAGATCAGCTCCTGAGGGGGACAGGCTGTCACACGGGGGGTCCCACACCCCCAAATGTCCCCCCCCCACACCGCCCTGCTTCCCCATCTGCCCACCCTATGGATCCATCGCCATGGGGCGCGCGGCTCGCAGGATGCGTGCGGGAGAAGCCCTATGGGGCTGCCCTGTGGGTTTCCCACTGGGTGCACGAGGTCAGGGGAGGGGGGGGAGGTTATGGGGGGGGGTTTGGGGGTTGGGGGGGGGTTGGAGCGCAGCCCCGCGGGACTCACTGCGATTTTCCTGGTGGTTTTCCAGCCTTTGGTTTGGTCGGAGAGGTCGCAGGACGTCATCAGCAGGCAGAGCAGCAGGCTGTGGTGCTGCTTGTTCTTGGGGTCGTAGCCCACTGGGGGGAGGATGAGGGGCAGATGGAGGGCGGGGGGTTCGGGAGGGGACCCCACAGCCCCCCTGTGTCCCCATGGGGTCAAAGCCCTGTGCCACCTCCCAGCCTTGGTGTGGGGAGTCCCCTGAGCAGCTCAACAGCGAGCCCAAGGGATGCAGCTCAGTGCCCCAAAGCCAGCAACCCAATGGGGACAAGGGGATGTGACACAGCCCAGTGGGGACAAGGGGACACAACACAACCCAATGGGGACAAGGGGACGTGGCACAGCCCAGTGGGGACAAGGGGATGTGGCACAACCCAATGGGGACAAGGGGACACAACACAGCCCAATGGGGACAAGGGGACATGGCAGAACCCAATGGGGACAAGGGGACGTGGCACAACCCAATGGGGACAAGGGGACACAACACAACCCAAAGGGGACAAGGGGACGTGGCACAGCCCAGTGGGGACAAGGGGATGTGACACAGCCCAATGGGGACAAGGGGACGTGGCACAACCCAATGGGGACAAGGGGACGTGACACATGGGGACACGACACAACCCAATGGGGACCAGGGGACATGACAAGACCCCACAGGGATGCCACACAACTCAACGGGGACAAGGAGACATGACAACCCAATGGGGACACAGCACAACCCAATGGGGACAAAGGGACATGACGCAACCCAATGGGGATGCAACACATCCCAATGGGGACAAGGGGACACAACACAACCCAGTGGGGACCAGGGGACATGACAAGACCCCACGGGGATGCCACACAACTCAACGGGGACAAGGAGACATGACACAACCCAATGGGGACACAGCACAACTCAACGGGGACAAGGGGACACGACACAACCCACGGGGGACAAGGTGACACAACACAACCCAATGGAGATAGGGGACATGGCACAACCCAAAGGGGACACAATACCAACCCAAAGGGGACCAGGGGACATGACAAAATCCCATGGCGATGCCACGCAATTCAATGGGGACAAGGGGACACAACACAACCCAATGGGGACACGACACAACCCAACGAGGACAGGGCGACACAACACGACCCAACGGAGACAGGGGACATGGCACAACCCAAAGGGGACACAATACCAACCCAAAGGGGGACCAGGGGACATGACACAACCCAATGGGGACAAAGGGACATGATGCAACCCAATGGGGACACGACACAACCCAGGGGGGACGCAACACAACCCAACAAGGACAAGGCGACACGACACGACCCAACGGAGACAGGGAACACGGCACAACCCAACGAGGGCACGACACAGGCGAATGCGATCCAGACGAGGTGACAAAGCCTCATGGGGACAAGGGGACACGACACGAGGGGTGCCACCAGCCCAGCATCACCTTCTGCCATCTTCTGGAGGTCCTTGAAGATGCGTAGGTGGTGGGCCAGGTCGGTGGCCAGGATGATGTCCCGCATGAGGTCCAGCATGCGCTGGTAGTCCTGCAGGGACACGGGATGGGATATGGGGGGCGAGGTGGGACGTGGGGTGGCTTTTTTTGGGGGGGGGGACACGGGGTGATGAGGGTCAGACGGGGGGGGGGTCTCACCTTGCGGGAGAAGTGGTCGAAGATGTTGCAGCCCTGGCTGTTGAGGATGGCGATGGCCTGGGCAAAGTGGTGCCGCTGCGGGGGGAAAAGGGGCCAACGGCCAACAGTGGGATGTGGGGATGGGGACAGCCCCAAAAAGAGCCCTGTGCTGAGAGCCACCGCGGTGTCCCCAGAGCGGGGGGGGGGGGGGAGGGCCTCACCTCCATCACGGAGCCCTCGGAGCTGTAGAGCGCGGCCAGGACCGACTTCTGTAAGGCAAAGTGTGGGGTCACCCCGAGCCTGAGCTCAACTCTAACCCCAGTGCAGGCCCTGCCCTGACCCTAAGATCAACCCTGACCCTAATCCTAATCACGACCCCAACCAAGACCCCGACCGTAATCCTAACCATGACCCTGACCCTAATCCTAACCATGACTCCAACCATGACCCCACTCCAAATCCTAACCATGACTTCAACCATGACCCTGACCCTAATCCTAACCATGACCCCGACCCTAATCCTAACCATGACCCCAACCATGACCCCGACCCTAATCCTAACCATGACCCCAACCACGACCCTGACCCTAATCCTAACCATGACCCCAACCATGACCCCACCCTAATCCTAACCATGACCCCAACCATCACCCTGACCCTAATCCTAACCATGACCCCAATCATGACCCCGACCCTAATCCTAACCATGACCCCAACCATG